AAGGAAGCCCTTGAGGAGAACGAAGTTCTGGAAAAGGAGCTCCAGCAGGCCCGTGAATACGCCGAGAAAGTCGCAAAGCAGGTCACCTCTCCGTGACGGAGTACAGGGGAGAGAAGCCACCTGGCGGCTGGTCACAGGAGTACAGGGGAGAGAAGCCACCTGGCGGCTGGTCACAGGAGTACAGGGGAGAGAAGCCACCTGGCGGCTGGTCACTGCAGGGCGAGAAGGCAGATGTAGCTACACAGACACACCTAGCGGCTCACGAGGGCACTGCAGGGGTGGAAGTTGATTCGGGTGAAACCGCAAGAGAAGAATCGACTGCAAAGGACACGGAAGACAAGAGCAGGGAACGGAATGAAAAGGAGGATAAACTAGGAGTGCAAGAGCGACACACGTCAGCAGGGGCAGAGGGAGCGGCACCTCGTACTACTGAAGACTTCAAACAGGGTAAGATCACTTACGGCGGGGAGGGATCAGAACCCGGGAAATTTAGGTACCCGCGCGGCGTTGTGGTGTCGTCTAGCAACGAAATATTTGTGGCTGATACGGACAACAGGCGAGTCCAAGTCCACAGCACACAGGGGGTTTACCTCCGCCACTTCCCAACAGTCGTACTGGGTACAGGGGTCATGGACATGGTGCCATATGATGTTTCTATGGACGGTAACGGCACACTGTGGGTTGTGGGGAGTGGTGAATCAGGCGATCATGTTGTACAATACAGCAAGGACGGGACCGCCATGACACAGTTTCACCTTCAGAAGAGGGAGGTTTGGCACCGTCGGATTGTTGTGGACATGCGCAATAACCACATCCTGGTGACTGATGCAGCCCGTGGTGAAGTTGAGATGTTCCGTCCGGACGGCTCTCTGGTGCGGAGGTTCGGACATCCACAGGGTGAGATGAGATGCCCGCAGTACATCACTGTGGACGGGGAAGGAAACATCCTTGTGGCGGACTCGAGCGCTAGCTTTGTCTACCTGTATGACGAGTCCGGGAAGTTCCTGCTGAAGTTTGGAGATGAGGGAAGTGGTGAAGGTCAACTACGGTATCCCCGCGGCATCTGTACAGACAACTCGGGTCACATCATCGTGGCGGACTCACGGAACAGGAGGGTACAGATGTTCACACGTCACGGCGAGTATGTCCGGAGCTTTGAGACTGGGTGTCAGCCAGAAGGCGTGGCCTTGGGACCGGAAGGGCAGCTGGTAGTGACTGATTTACATAAACATTCAGTGACAATTTTTCCTAGTTATCTGTGATTTTAATGCTTTAATGTTCTTGGCATGTTGATGAACATATTATACATTTACAATCTATAGCTTGTAAAAGGAACTTCGTGGCTACATGTATTTTGAAAGTCATAGTTTGTTAGCTACTCAGCAGCCACCCCTTGCGGCAATACTTGGAAGTGCACAAAATTAAGTCCCTGAGGGCGTGACCAATTGTAAATCTTATACACTGGAATGGACATGAAAAATTAACATTTATTTTCAACCCAGCTTAATTAATGATTTATTTCTTGACATGAAAACATTTGACATAAACTCTGCATATTTTAGAAATCATAGTCGTTGTCAGAGTATGGTTCTGCAATGGATAAATCCCGGTTCTGGATACACGAGGATTATCCAGAACCGGTCTGAGCATGGTTCTGAATAAAACAGGGTTCTAGATACATATGGACTATCAATACTCACATCTGTGTATGATTCCCGACAAAGCCCCTTTCTAGATAGAACAGTAAAGGTCTTAAAGGCATCCAGTGCAGTTTTTAGGGCTTGGAAGCCAGAATTTTCAAAAGCCAACATTCTAGTCTTCATTGATTTACATACTGAGTTGAAACCACACTGTCCCAATGTATATTGCCCCTTGTGGAGCAAAAATTCCAAAAATTCTGACTGAAAATGGTTACAGGAAAAGCCCTGGGCTGATTTTTAGAGTACCACCCAGAAACTAAAGGACTCATCTCGGGGCTTGTTTCTACAGTATTAAAAGCCTAAAGTATGAAATACTGACTCAAATGTGCTAATGTGAAGCAGTATGTGTCAATATCACAAAGATTGCCTTATTCAGAGAGATGAGGAGACCTACTCAAGTACAAGTACAAGTATTCAGAATATTTCCAGTTTTGCTGCCCTGAATTCGTTTTGGATGCCTTTAAGGCAAAATGGTCGTTGGGAACACACCCGTCTTTCAAAATATGAACCACCGCCACGGTTCCTAGCCTGTATTCCTCCGTTCCGGGCGGCCGGACGCCTTAGGCCACCTCTCAGCACCCTTAAGCCACAAGCCAACATAGCCTCACGGTCCAGGCGCGGTAGGAATGCGGTATGTGCAGGATTACCAATCTCCAAGCAGATACACTACAAGGGGCCACCCCCTCCGATATATAACACTCAGCTGTAGAACCAACATATTCAGATCTAGCTTCTTTCCAAGAACCATCACAGAATGAAACGCACTACCCGAACATCTAGTGACACAACAATCTGTTGACACATTCAAGACGGGGTTGGCCCTGCACTTGGGCCACCCCGTCTCACAGATGTAAGTTGGGTATTGCTAGTTGCGGCTATGCACGAAACGCACAAATTTATGTTCTGTTTTGTTTTGTTTTCAGCACATTTTTATTCACCGCACCCCACCGGCCGCAATAGCTGTGCACCCTGGGCGGGATGCCCTAGTCAGGGTTTTGCCCAGTATCAAATAGACTAGACTAGAATAGAATAGAATACGTGGAGACGGAAACTGTTCCACATGATGGTCATAAACGACTTGTATCAGTGCCATCTGTGTAGTGACAGCAACCCTAACCCAAACATAACCCTTACCACTCACTAACCTAACCTTAACCCCAACCCCTAATGCTACACCTACCCCTAACCCCAACACCAAACCCTAACCTTAACCATATCCCCAACCTCACCCCCTAACCCTAACCCCAATATTCAACCTCACCCCCTAACCCTAACCCCAACAGCGAACCCCAATACTGAACCCTAACCCTAACCCTAACCCAAATACCTAACCCTAACATCAACCAGCAACGAAATAATACGTTTGTGTATTATTGCTCAAGAGGTACATACAGGAAGAAATTAGTCTAGACAAAGGTAAACTCAAAGTTACCCTCTTAATTCCCTGTTTCCTGTACAGAGCACTATTGGCTAGACTTGGGTAAATTCAACAACAAAAACCAAACGCAGGAACAGGAAACCGATATTTGAAGATTCTGAAGTAAGAAAAACAACAATGGTCTGATAAGGGATGCTTATGTCATGGGGAAATGTTATGCACACTTGAAATGTGACCAACTATCATCTTGAAGGCCTATGTATATTTTCCAAGTGTTATTATTCATAACACGTATGATTAAATTGACAATCATATGCACCTCAAGCACGTTAACGATCCCATTAAATTTATCGGGAAAGAGCATGGGTCCTTCCCCGTATGAGTGGTTCAAACCTCGCAGTCTGTTCTCGAGGTTGATCTCTTGAAAAGGTGATAGTCACCAGTTATGTCAACCCTTCCACAAATGTGGCAAATCTTGATAAATAGAGAAAATTCAATCTACCATTGAGCAGCAAGATTTAAGAGTAAATAGAAAAGCCAGCCCAGCTAGCTTCACTGAATCAGCTCTATCCGTTGAATAAAACAACGGTCCCTGAAGTCTGGGTTTCCAAGAAGCTGACCAGTAAGATTTGAACCTGTCTACTCTGACCCCGAACCGACTGGACTCTCCGATTTGCAAGTTTTCATGACAAGAAGAGGGTATTTGACATATTTCACCAAATCTGCTCCATCCGTTGTAAAACAACGGTACCCGAAGTCAGGGTTTCCAAGAAGCTGGCCAGTTATATTTAAACCTGTCTACTCTGACCCCAAGCCGATTTTCAAGTTTTTACGACAAGAAGAGGATATTTGACATTTTACACCTGGTATTGTCTTCTTCTTTTACACCTTAATTCGGTGTTTGCCATGACTTAAATGTACGCCGGCCGTGACTAAACCTACGAAACCTTATCGCTCCTGAACTGCTAAGCTACTATTAGAGGAATGGTGCGAAAGGCAAGCTCAAACAAACTAATACCACTGAAAGGGCCAACATTTTTGAGTGAAAGTATTCCCGGGCCCCTTCTTAGTGGCACTATTAAAAACTCTTTTGGAAAATCACGCTTACAAGTAGGTCAAATTTTGGTATATGTGTCATTACACAAAGAACAAAAAATGTATGTGAAATAAAAGAGTTAGAAAAAAAAAAAGTTGTTTAATCTTTGAAACAACAATGCGTTCACTCGTACGAGGCTGAAAAATTAGCACGCATAAACCATACTAATTTGTTAGTTGGTAAATAAGTACAGTGGTTTGCGATTTGCATTTTGGGGTGGGTAGCATAGAAACAAAGAAGTACATGTATATGTCAACGGTCGTACAATCCAAAAACTACCCCAATAAAGAACAACGAGTTTGCGTAAAGTATGCAGTTACCTCCTTGCTTTGTTTCTATATGATGATATTTTAGGACTGTAGAAAGATTCAAGTGGTCAAACCGAGATTGGGAATTTTTCAAGATGTTCGATTCACTTGAGCAAGAAAGCTGTGAGAAGATCTAAGACTTTGACTCGATCGTTAATCTTCACCTGTCCGTCAGCAACAATGAGGGGCGGAGCGTTGAGAAAGCCGCCAGTGGCCCGAATTGTAAAGCCGATACGCCCCACCTTGCGTGTGGGCCCGCATGGCCTTTTCCGTGGAGCGTAATCGGCCGTTTTAATTCTACGTAGAGCGTAGACGGACCGCTCTAATTCAACGTAGAGGCGCATTTTGCGTTGAGGTGTATTTGCCATTTTAACTCAACGTAATGCGTTGCGGCCACTTGGAATTCATCGTAAAGCGTAATCGAGAGGTTTCAGCGTAATACGTAGCCGGCTCTCAAAATTTAGCTTGAGAGCGTTGTCGGGACCCCCCCATGCAGGCCCTCTTGTGTGTGCCCTGAGGTCGCACTGAGCAAACACAAACAGGAAGACACCGTTATACCGGGTACACCTAACCCGGCGTACGGTCGCACAGGTGTTCAGGCAACACACCGGGACTTCGGACTGCAATCCTACGGGGAAACGCCGCTATGGGCCCGAAGAAACTTCTGCATTTGCTCCTGGTTGTTCTAGCTGTTGCCTATGCCGGTAGGTGTAACACGTTCTTAGTATTCTATCACCTTTTCACACCTTGTCTTTGTGTCGCAACGCGTCTTTACAGGTAGGGACATTCCTAGAGCAGACCATGCGTTCGCTAGGGCGGTTTTGCTTGATTTGAGACCGCTTTATTACTTTATGTTTGTAAACTTGTGAAGTACTTAGTATAGCGCTAGGATCTCTGTTGATATAATCGTTTCGTTTATGGTTTTAACAGGTTGATAAGTCAAGAACTATAGACCATGCTAGAATTTGAACAATGCTAATATGCATTACAACGTGTTTACTGTAAAGGAACCACTTTGTTGTCACTAATCCAAAACATGTTTGAAAAACGGATGGAGAATGTTCCGTAACAAGGATATGGGAAACGGTGATTGCGGAAACTATGTGAGGAACTACACACTCGATTGAAGCTATGGCCGTTTTTCAACGATGACCTGTTCTTTGATTAGTTTACTCCTTTGACCAATGGTGTGCAAATATGATCCCAAAGCTACAAGTATAAAACTCAGTGAGTGCATGGTACGATATCTGAATGGAAGAACCGACCGTTTCAAAGAAACCACTAGAAAAATCTCTGTTACAAGAAAAATTTCAAACGACACATCCCAAGAATATGTCCCATTTTCGAACATAACGTCATTTACGTATTGTCGTATCTATAACCATGCCTACCTAGTTCTATGCCTGGATGGGTTAGGGTTAGGATCAGACACGGTTCTGGATAGTCTCCGCGTATCCAAGAACGTAGATTTGCCCCATACACGTTCAGTGTTCGCGTATAATATCCAGAACCATGCCTGAGCAAGGTATAACGCTCGGTTCTGGATGCGAGTGGTGTGTGCTATCCAGAATATGGTTTTGGATAAAACACGATTCTGGATACAAGTACAGATATCTTAGGACGAATATGACCGGTACTCTAGTTGCAGGCTTACAGAACTGGGGTTTTGGTGGTCTTCGGCTGTTTTCTGATTAGCTCAGTTCTAAAAAATCGTGGGTAATTCAACCAGGCCAGCTATGTTGTCTATATGCAATCAGAAAATATCATAAAAGATCCCAAAGACCCCCAAACCCCAGTTTTTGGCATGCTATGGAGGCTAGCGGCGCTCAGTGGGTGGCCAGCGGGTTATATGCTCAATCTATCCTCCACACTGCGCCCTAATTCAGGACAATGGTAGTGGCTGGATCAGCAAACAAACCTCATAGAGCAATTAACCAAGTACTTAAACCTCCACAGAACATTAAATACGCATACCCTTTCATTAACTCTAAGGCACACGTTGTATATGCTGTATATGAACTGTGCAAGTGTAGAGGATGAATTTTGGGGCAATTTTAGGTCAGGAAAAATGAAAACATCGTAAAAAGACGGAACGTGAGAAATGACCCCTATAGCGGTATCTGTCGTTCCGCAAACAGACAATTCACCGTCGCTAAGCTAACAGCTGATGGGCGCCGCAAGAAACGGGTCAACTGATCTGAAACGATCGCTTGTCGTCGCTCTCAGATAAAGAGGTGGTTCAGTTCAGTTCAGGGCTCGAAATTTAATTAAAGGTGGTCCAGTTACCATTGACCACTAAAAGTTAGGCCGGGACAACTAAGAAGACACTTTGGGACATTTTTTGAGAATTGGGACGATAAAAAAAATCAACAACAGAATGTCAGCCCTTGTTTTGTTTATCAGGTACACATCCCGGGTTTTAGATCCGGAACAGTCCTGTCTACTCTGCAATAGTGTAAAGCAAAATAAAGTTGACTTCGCGTCATACAATACTTAACGAAATACAGGTTGGGACATTTCATCATTAGTTTGGGATACTTTTTGGTGCTGAGATGATAGGAAGAAAAGTTATTTTAGTTTTTAGGGTCAACTGATCTGAAACGGTCGTTTGTCATCGCTCTCAGGTGAAGAGGCATGCCCGTAGGTTCGCCCCCCCCCCCACAAGGCTCAATGGTCCACTTTTTAAACCACTTTTTATCTAGAGGTCCAAGATTTTTCTTTAAACGATGGACTGATTCGATATCACCAGCGGGGCTGGAATCGTAGAAAAACTTGTCACTTTGTCATTGAATAAAAAATCTCTGATTTCTCTTTGAAATCCTCTCATCAAAAACGCAAGAAATGCCAGAAGGTTATTTTTTTTTACTTTTCCGGGGGAGCATATACCCCTGCACCCCCTAGGAACCTCGCGCCTACGGCGCTCGCTGGTCCCTCAAGCAGTGGGGAGAACCTCCCATCCCCATTCCAAATCCTGGCTACGAACATGGGAAGTGGTTCAGTTCAGATATGGGAGATAAAGGGACGTGATACCATCAGTAGAAATCCTTGTTTTCTCGATGATGCGGTACATAAAAGGTCAAGAGAGTAAACAAATGCGATGAACTCTTGTTAAGGGTTATATGAAAATGGCAACGAACTTAAAGCATGAATGGCAAACGCAGGTCCACAAATATGTTACGTTTTTATCTTTGTAGAGGAGTGTTTAGCTTGTTGTGTGACTTCAAACAAACTTAGAATTGTATTTGAAGAGGATGAAAGAGAATTCACTCTCACAGTATGGTACAGGTGAGAAAATCTGACTAAGCACATTTACAAAAAGTTCAAATGTGTAACGTATAACGTAATTTTTATACACGGACAAGCATACGTTGTTAAATGATTAGGTAATAAAACGAGTTAGGGTTTGATTTAAGAAAATTGCCAGTAACTTAAACAAACAACAATTTGGTACGACCCACTTGGATGTTTTTCCCGCGTTCAGTTGAAGAGAATTCAAGTATTTCTTTTCACTCCTTTGAGCGATGGAATACCGTAACAGTACAAACAAGTCCTATATAAAAGCTATCTATCGTCACCTATCAGAACCGTGCCTATCTAGTTCTATGCCTGAATGGGTTAGGGTTTGGATCAGAAACGGTTCTGGATGGTCGCTATCGTATCCACAACCGTGCCTACCTCGTTCTATATACTAGTATGCAGATTTTAGCCCCATCTTCCTGCAACGTTGTAAGTAGATTGGCAGTCTTTAGAAATTTTCACCACTTCTGAAACTTGCCTATCTAGTTAAGAAGCCTGAATGGGTAGGGTTAAGATCAGAAACGGTTCTGGATGGTCTCTATCGTATCCATGTTGAGAACAGTGCCTATGTATGAGGGCCTGCATGGGGGTTGGGGGTAGGGATTACTAATTACGCAAAATGTTCACCGCCAATTACGAATTACGTTAAATTCTCACACCCGATTACGACTTTACGATTTGCGGCTAATGTCCAATTACGGATTACGTTGATTTTTCGGGAGGCTGACTACGGATTACGACGTCTAAAAGGCCTGATTACGCCTTACGATAAAGGGCATGCAGGACCTCATGTAGTTCTATCAGATTCTACCCCCCTTTCAGTGGCAATGTTGTATGAAGATTGGCAGTCTCCTGAAACTTTCACCACGTCTTTAAACAATACTGCGGTGAAAGTAAAGCCAATGCAAACGTAAGCATGGGCCCTCCACGACGACTTTTAAAAACATGTAAAGAAAAGGCATTATTTTCCAGCTTGACTGTATTACGTCAAAGTTCACTAGGTCAGTTTGATTAATGTCAACAGACACTCAATCACTGCCAGAAACTATTGATCTTGAAATAGAGGACTAGAAAGGAAAAACAAACAATGCGCTGTAACAAACCGCAACGCTTTGTTTTAAATTCTGTGGAAAACTACTGCTGGATAGGATACCGATTACAACTGTATATGGGTAACGTCAGTTTAGTTCAGTGTTTTAGATGCCATTTGGGAGAAAATCTTAAGAGTTTTTAAGACAGGAAGAATTTTTCAGGGGGAAGGGAAACCCAAAGATTGTTCATCAAATAGACGAATTTGCAAGAGCCTAATATAGAATAACATTTACGCAAAGCAGGGTGCTCAACATTTTAATGGCAGTATTAAGGTTTTAAACAATGGGATATTAGACTCGAATACAGCCCTTGTTCAGGGCATCAGCCTCACCATTTTGTTCCCTCTTAGACACCTGCCATTTTCTAGTTGCTGAGATTTTCTAATGGTCTGCCACCGTGGAAACAATATCCAGTAAACTGCAGCTAAAACAGCAGCAACTACAGGAAAAATGGTAAACTTTTGCCGGCCCTTGCCGGAGCCTGCTACCTAGGCTACGTTTTGTTTGTCATGACCCCTGGTAGAGGAATCGGTCTCTTTATATATATTATAGATACCTGCCATTTTCTAGTTGCTGAGATTTTCTAACAAGTTGCAACCGTGGAAACAATATCCAGCAAACTGCTTCAAAAACAGCAGCAACTACAGGAAAAATGGCGAACTTTAGTGGCCCTTACCGGAGCCTGCTACCTAGGCTACGTTTTGTTTGTCATGACTCCTGGTAGGGGTATCAGCTTCACCGTTTTTCCTCTTAGCTACTTGCCATTTTCTAGTTGCTGAGATTTTCTACAGTTTGCAACCATTGAAAACTGCTGATAAAGTCACCAGCAACTAGAGGAAAATTTGGACTTTTTCTGCCTTGCCGGAGCCTGCTACCTAGGCTACGTTTGTTTGTTGTGGCAGACAAGAGGCCTGAATGTCCTCACAGCTGTGCACACGGCAGATAGCCCGATAAGCGGGGTTATTTGACAGTACCTCTTGTTCTAACAGGCTAATAGAAAGATAACGCCGAACCCATTGTAAGTAGCTATATAGACAGTTACAGGTTACTTGGGGCCTATAAGGGGTTCCCGGCTGCACCTTGAGCTAAACTTAGAGTCTTTAATATGCTTCCAGGCTTGAGAGGCGGATGGAAAGAGTAGAAATTGGCCGAATAGTAGCTATATAGACAGTTACAGGTTACCTGGGGCTTACAAGGGGCCCCCTGCTATACTTTGCACTAAATTTGATAGAGCCGTCTAGGGTTCAGAGGCGGCTGGAAAGAGTTGGTCAAATGACATGACTTTCCTCAGGTGAAAATGAGTATTGTGTTGTCCTCTGGGTTGGTGGTGGCATTAATATAAGTTGGAAAAAAAACTTGAGTGTGCCGTCACCACGTCTTGTGATTACATGTTGAAATATTTAAAAAATTATAGACGGATAGCATACCAGGGGAGACGGTCCGCTGACGGGTTAAAACATCACCGTACTTCTATAGCGTACCAACTCTCCTGGCAAGTTACCCGCCTATTTGGCCACCTCTGAAGCCTGGAAGAGGCTAAAATTTAAATCTCTTTATCCATTTTTGCCAAACTTGTCGGTCCACACAAACGAGTGAAAGTGGCTATAAAGGCTTAACAATCAAGAGAGGGATGAGTATCGTGTTTGCAGCTGTAAGTTATCCTTATGTTTTAATTCGGTTAATCCTAACAGTACATAAAAACTCATGATCTGATAAGCTAGGGAGTAGGAATGTTCAAACCAGTACGTTTGCTCAGCATTTTCGGCTAACTCGTTTGTTTGTTTGATGATCTTAATTTTCTTTCACTGCTCGCGTCGGCGCGAGGTTTGTAATTTGAGAATACCAGAGCTATTGTATGCAGAACGGTGCAGTACCTAGTTCTATACTTAGACTATACCCGGCTAGGGTAACTAAGGATCAGGTGCGGTTCTGAATTCCAAGTACGTAGACTTGCCTTCGCACGATTTTGGATACGGGTAGACTTTCCAGAAACGCGTCTGAGTGTGGCTCTGGATAAACCACAGTTCTGGATACGCGTGGACTATCCAGACCGTGCCTAAGTATGGCTCTACATGCAGATTAAGGAATTAAGCACAGTTCCTGATATAACATCCTCTGATCTGTAGTTAGTGCAAATTCATTAGAATAAAAAAAATCAAACTGGCTGCAGCTGTTTTAGTTACATACTATGTAAATACACTGCAACACAGATGAACTTCCATGATGAGCCAAAACGCTGTTGTGATATTCCTGGCCTTTTTTTCTACCGGTTCTATTTAAAATTTCTCTTAATCCGTTACCTGCACCACGCATGACCTGTAGCTAGACAGCCCCGCCCTTCTTTATTTATACATTCCAACATGTAATCACAAAACGTGGTGACGGCACATTTTTTTACAACTTATATTAATACCGCCACTCATTTTCATCTGAGCGAAAGAATGTCGTGAAAAGTACCTTTGCTAAGGGCGCAAGATCGGTGGCATGTCAGGACTTGAACCTTGGGTTCCGAGTCGAGCACTCTGCCGCTACGCCACACGACCCCACACCCCGCCCTTCGTACACGTCTGCCACATACCGGAACTAATCGGTGTAGGATTGAGCTACTTAGTGTTCCGCTCTAGATGGCCTGGAGTGGACCCGTACAATAAGGGTATTTACAGATTTCGGGAAGATTTTTGCTGTCTTGGCAGAATGCAGTGTAGACTACCTTACTGACAATCACGGCAATAACAACGGACTTTTTTGTAGCAAATAAGTCTATGTCTACAACTTCCATTCAAAGACCATTTATACATGATACAGTACTAATATATTTCTGGGAAAATCACTTTGCAGTTTATAGAAATACTATACTATATATTTGTTGTTGTTTCAGAGTCACAGCGGAGTGATCTCGGAAATGGTGCCGCGGTTGGAAATGTGAGTAAATCGGTTCAGAGACTCATAAAAGTATGGTTTGGTAAAGATGATATTATAAGCTTAACTTTCAATTAACTTAACTTTACATAAAAGTAGTACGGTAGAGTACAGATGATAGAACTTGAATTCAAATTTCAGTATATGAATGTGGAATCTACATATTAAAAGAACTGTTTGTATGAGAAGAAAAATGCTTAATAATTTAGACTTTTGTGTTCCCATATTTTCTGCAGCCCGATAGCAAGAACTGCCAGGGAAACAATTGTGGAGGCGGCTGCGCTGGACAACCTGGGCCGAGGGTAAGGAACACTAGGCCATAACATATGCATGATGTTCCCTGACAGGTTCTAGTTTCTTCGTCTCCTCTTATCCTCTACGAGGCTTCAAAGGCGTGATGGTCGCATAGACAGATAAAAACATGCCAGGGTGTTAGTATAGGAGTACAATCTACCAAGTTACTAGTGTTATCTGTCTCTGGCCAGTTTCTTCTCTTTCCAACTGCCAATGAAGCCTGGGTATGATAGAGGCTACCCCTCTTCCAATGACCTGGACCAGACAGCTTCCACCATGGTAACTGGTGCTGTAGCTGACACCCTACCCTTTGGTGTTTGATCAGATTATGTAGTAAGTTGTAGTGGCTGGTCACCACATATATGAATGTGTTGAAATAAACAGAGCAGTAGTTCTGAAGGTAATCATGCATTTTTGTATCGGTATAGCCGGTATGACCACCATTCGGCGTAACACACCAGCTTCGCAGGCACGTGGCCTGGCGGCAAATTTACCTCGCAAATTTTACCCTTTTTATCGTCTTTTTTTTTCCGTACTAGGGTTACCCAGGGCCCCGAGGGCCTCCAGGCTTCCCCGGGCCGGAGGGTATACAGGGGGAAACGGGAGCCGCGGGACAGCCTGGCTTTCCCGGTGATGCTGGGCCAAAGGGTGACAGGGTACGTATGGAATAAACTGTCAAACACTACAAATGCAATGTCCATGTGTAGAAAATAACAGCGTCTAGCGATCTCGAATTACAAAGCTTAGTCTGTGCATCAGGTTTAAAGAAACTTAAGGCCCATCACTTAATCTGTAGACGAAAGGGATCTCGACGGCCTCTATATACTCTAGATGTATATGCCTTTTCGTCTTGGAAGAGGAGTATACATAATTTTATATAGCCTGGTATAATTACTAACTTTATAATTCTTATTTTACAGGGAGATGTAGGACCAATGGGCCCACAGGTAAGGGCAAAATACCTCTTTCAAACTGGAATCGTTGCAACTATACAATTGTCTACATTAGATATTATAAGATATATTATTGGAGAACTGTTCCTGTCCTGTGTAGCTTCCCTAATAATATCATTGTATAAGGATGATGAGAGAATACTTTATGATAACATAGAAAAAGTGTGGTTACTTTTGCATTGCATATCTCGTTGGTTCACGTTTCTGACCACGTGACCTGTGTCGATCCCAGGGTGTTTTAGGACCCGCCGGACCGTTAGGACCACGTGGCAGCCAAGGCGCGAAAGGCATGAAGGGAAACAACGGTTCTCCTGGCCTCAGGGGAGAAAAGGGTTTGCGGGTAACTATTCTAACTTTAATTATGCCTAATTTATGTATTATCTTAATCTATTTTCTGTGTTCCTAAACCGGAGTAGCACTACTCAATGGCTTAGGACTGCTTTACAGAGTGGCCCTGGAGACATAGATACAAGACAATATATACCAGGCATATGTATTAAAAAAGTCAATGTGAAAATCGTAAGCCATAAGCTTAATGTTTAAGACAATCTTCAAGGACTTCCTATGATGGGCTTTCGCGCATTGTCCATCAGTAAAAACTCACATTTACAATATCATGGGGTCTGAGGCAGTATGACACTACGGAAATTAATTCATGTTTGTCTTTATTTCATGTATACATAGTGAATTTTTCTCATTTAATTGATCTAAAATACTCAAATAGTGTAAAATATGTCAGCATAGCTAAGTGAATGAAACAAAATATCTACTAAAGCACTAAATATCTGTTTACTAAATGTTGTTGTTTACCCCGTACATAGGGCACCCAAGGTGTTCCCGGCATGCCTGGCGATGTGGTAAGCAAAACCCCTTCTTCTTTTCTACCTCAACTAGCTCTATAAAAACAATTCCCCTTTTTTGTTTTGCAATATAGGCTGAATTATCTGCTGCATTTTTTCCATAAGATTCAAACATTTCTTTTTGATATTTGTTGTTGTAGGGTAACCCAGGTGATAACGGACCAATGGGAATGCCCGGACTATGCGTGAGTATGACGTCATTTCTTAATCGCTAGTGGCCTTTGATTTTGGTCGTCCTTTTAAAGGCATCGAGGTTTAAGCCGTACATTTTTAACTTCATTTGAACTTGCTATTTAGTTAACGATGAAGAGAAAATTTGTAACAACTTGTCTTTCTTCTGTTTTAGGGTCCTAAAGGAGAACCAGGTAAGTAATTTTTTTTTTTGGTTATAAGACATTTTGTCAAACGCCAATTTCTTCCTCGACGCTTGGTATTGAAATGTTGCCTGACCTTGCAATATACATGTACGTCTTTTTGTATTTATGAGACTACGATTTCTGACATACCATTTATTTCATTATCAACTGTTCAGGTGCACCAGGAGTACCTGGGAGACGTAAGTATTCAGATGTTCTAAAACTATCAGATCCTAACTCTAACCCATTCAGGCATAGAACTAGAAAGGCACGATTATGGATACATTAGAGACTAACCAGAACCATCACTGATCCTAACCATAGTGCATTGACACATAAAATTAGATACAGGCGCGGTTCTGGCCGATACCTTACAAACTATACAGAGCCATGCCTGATCCTAACCATAACCCATTCAGGCATAAAACTAGATAGGCACGGTTCTGGATATGAATACGATAAACCATAATTGCGTTTCCATGGTCTACAGCTACCAGTGCTTCACCCGGTCCCCCCGGTAGACTCGGTCCTCAGGGCCCGCCGGGGCCACCTGGTCTACCCGGCCCGCCCGGAGCACCGCCCAGCATCGGCGTCAAGGGAGAGCCTGGCCTGCCTGGGAGCCCAGGCTTAGACGGTAAGGAAAATCAACATGTGCAACACATACTAGAGATTAACCATACAGATGTAGACAAAATTTGGCATAAAATGTCCAGGCTTAGACGGTATGGAAAAAAAATCAACATCTACAACTAGATACGCCGAGTATCTAGCTTCAAGATAAGAAGACACAAACAATCGTTTATTGCTAGATCTCTCAAAATCATGCAGCACTGAAATAACACTTTACATATAAACTCACGACTTTTACCTCTGCAGAGTACTTGTATTTTTTACTTGTCTTGTTCCTTATGTTAATGCAAGCGTAAACTCAATGATTAATGACATTATCGACCTGAAAAGATATTCTGAGTAATTGTGTTAATTTTAACATTTAATCTTTGAATGCTGAAATGTTCTGAGATGATTTTTAAAATTCTTTATGTTTTGAATATATCATTACAGGCCAACCCGGACGTCTTGGGTCGCCGGGCAGTCCAGGTGTGAATGGAATACCTGGAGGACCTGGACCAAAGGGTTAGTGTTTTCTATGTTTACAATTACTACATTCTGTTTTCTTGCATATTTCCATTGTAGGTATTTTAATATTTTCAGTAGTGCATTGTAGATACTCTTTATATGTCTTTATAATGATGCGTATTAGATTATTGGTTAAGCTTTTCATATCAGCTGTTCCTAGAAACAATACACACACACCCCCCATCTAACATTATAATTACCATACAGGTGAACAAGGCGGGCCCGGACTTCCTGGGTCACCAGGTACGATACATAAATTTTGTTTCAATTTCTTAACCTTGATCGTTAACTCTGCTTGATCAGACTCTTCAATTGAAATATGCACAAAATGGGTCCACAGTGACACAAAGACGGATATTATCTTTTCTGTTTAGGTCAACAAGGCCAGAGAGGAGTTATTGGATTCCCAGGCAAAAAGGGTAAGTCATACCTTTTCAGCTAAATACTTTTATTTGTACAAAAAGGAGACCAAAGTTTTGTTTCCACGTTTAGTCACTCTTTGTAAACAGAGAGAAAGCTATAGATAATTATATTGATAGCTAGAGTGTGTGTGCTTGTGTGTGTGCGCGCTCGTGTCTGTGTTTGTTTGTGCGTGTGTTTGTGACTCTTTTTTTTACTGTTTGAAACTATTTTTTGTAAATCTGACAATACATCTCGTCTCCAGGAGAACCGGGCACCACGAGAGGCATCCCCGGGCCACCCGGCACCTTGGGCCCACAAGGGCCACCCGGAGCAGCCGGTAAAACATTCACCTACATGATAGTCTTACATGTACAGGAACGGTAACCGGAATTTTTGCCACTTTTAAAAGATGCTGTCGAAAAGTGTTGCATGAAGTAAGGTCACACGCACTTCATGACATCAGGTATCCATTTCTTAAGTCATTCGTTAATACGTAGGTACCTACAATAGAAGCGGCCAGTAAAACGTGCGGTTAGCCGGTAGGACTACATGATGACTTTGAAAGCACCTTAATCTTACTATATAGCATAGATGCTTTTGCAGTTTCATGAGATCACATGTACTGCATAAAATCCAGTATCTATTCATTTCTTAAATCATCAATATCTTAACCACGTAGTTACCTACAAATGCTGTAACGAAATGTTTCTTTAACTATGCTGATACCGACTTTTTTTATGATTGTAGGTTTTCCTGGACCAAAAGGAGACCCCGGTGTGGCTGGAGCACCTGGTAAGTAAAAGTTATGATAATATATTGCTTCATTTGTTTACATAGTAAGTTCTCTGAAGCCCCAAAGACGATGCGGACCCATGTACATATGAAACAATGAAAATTGTGCTGGAAAGTCTGTAGCGACCCCCGTCTTGATTTAATGAATTGTTATTACCATCAACCCCCTGAGTATTGCATTTTACGATCTCTGAACCCCAAAAGCTTTTATGCAGCACTAATGATTTTAATGTGTGCTAACTTTTTATGAATCAATCAATTATGTAATTGTCAGAGCAATTCAGGTCCCAGTTACATGGAACCTGCCATTCTGTACAAATGCATGACGAATAAACCATTATTATTATCATTATTACTAACCCGGGCCGTGTACATCTGAAACGATTAAAATTTTGCTGGGAAGACTGTAGCGTCCCCCGTCTTGATTCAGTAGATTCTAAGCTTATTCTAATATACTCATTTTCTCATTGTTCCAGGTTTACCTGGCCGACCGTCGGCAGGACAACCTGGAGGCCCGGGTCCACAAGGCCCCACTGGTCCGCGAGGAACGCAGGGTGCCCCTGGATTCCCAGGTGAGAAACACACAGAACATGGATATAATTGTGGTATCTTATACAAGTAATTAAGAGTAAAATGTAATGTAATCAGCAAAAAGTTTAAGAATGATTTCATGCCCTGGTTATCATTTACTGCCAACCTAATAGTCAAAATTGGAACATCGTTACAGATGCATGCAAAGCTGTTTTGCTTCTTTCCCCAGCATAATGCATTTTCAAGATGTTTCTTTAAATATGTGAAATTTGACCCATGTTTTGCCTCATTCTAGGACAAAAGGGAGAAGCTGGAGTTGGTTTTCCCGGAGCTCCTGGAGTTAGAGGTAACTGAAATTGTTTTATTCATTGTGGAAATCCGGATATTTTGCACTTTTACGTGTTTAAGTAGAAACCACAGCCGTAAGAATCATTTACAACTATGTAACTCCTTGTATTATGTAGAACAAAATTATGATTTTTAATACTTTCTTATTTCAAGGATCTATTGGCCCTCCCGGTCCACCTGGCCCTCAAGGTTTACAAGGTAAGAAAACACATCATCACTTCCGGGTAGGGAAGTATTGTTTTGGGTGGCTGAGTTGTGGGTTTGTGTACCTGTTTGTTAGTTGTGGAGTAGGTTGACAGCACTTGGGTTGGGACGGTCGATAGGCAGAACGACAGGAGGTCAAAAGGACAGAAGCAGGAAATGGGTTGAATAAGAATTTTAGGTCGGGAGCCAGCAGGAATTGGGGGAGACATGGTGGGAATTCAGGAGGCAAGACAGAGTTGGAGATGTTGGTCACCATATACTAGTATATTTGGATGTGATAAGAGCAGTAGTTTGTTAGGCTAAACCATGTAACATGATGTAAACGTTAACACATGCATGCTCCTTTTCTTTATCTTATCTCTATTTACTCAATTAAAAACAAAGAAATAACAAAGAATGTTTGACGTGTTCTGTTTTAAGCTGGAGGTTCCGGAACGTTCCACATGCTGACTCGCCACAGCCAGACCACCGCCATACCGCAATGCCCCCTGGGATCAACTGTGATGTGGCAGGGGTACAGTCTGCTGCATGGGGAGGGCAATGAACGAGCGCATGGGCAGGACTTGGGTAAGAAATTTCACATTTTTTAAAATGTCTAAGCCCTGGTCCTCAGCTTAGCTTAGGGCATTGGGTAGGCTGACGGGATCTCAAGGGTCTGAAGCTACTGCCTTTAAGCACAAAAGTGGCAGGTTTGGTAATTTTTCAGCAGTGGTACCCTTTCCAGAGTCACGTGCTTGAGATCAAGTTTCAAAGTCAATGGGTCATTCTGTCCGACGATGGTTAGAGACATCCAGGAAACATGACTATGGGTCCTACACTCCAAGCAGAGGTTTAACGCTTGGGCTTATTTTGACAGTTAACGTTTGAGGCATATTACACCTGGAATATTGAAAAATCCTGCTGATAGTTAATCACACAACTCTAGCAGTTGACAAACGTACTGCTGTGGTGATTGTGTGACCGAAGGGCTACAGAAACGGAGATTAGTGCACCATGTATAGTGGTGGGAAGGGCTTTCACTGTCTTTAACTAAATACTGATGAGTGTTTTATGTGAATCGTACTCGGAGCGACCGATTCGTGCCTATAGCGTTTCGCTCCCATGCCCTTTATATTCTAAGACATCAATTAATAAATAGAGAATCTTGAGATGGAGGGGTGGCGTTCTCTATTCATTTTTTATTCATTGATAAGTGTTTTGCGGACATCTTAATTGCAGGAGCGGCCGGGTCTTGTCTCCAGCGTTTCGCTCCCATGCCCTTCATGTTCTGTGACATCAACTTTCACTGCCACTACGCGACGCGCGACGACAAAACCTACTGGCTCTCTACCGTGACCAACGAACAGGACATACCGGATAGCACAGTGAACGGTGCCGCAATACTGCCCTTCATATCAAGGTGTATTGTGTGCGAGGTGTGTAATGTGTAATTTTATTTCAAATTCTTGTTCAAAGTCCTTCTACATCAACAGTTTCTTTCCCGAACTGCAAAATTATGGAATTCCCTGCTAAACACATGCTTCGTTCTTGAATATAATCCCTAAGCTTTCAAAATAAACTTTCCCTGCCATTTTTTGGCAAAGTCTTATTTGTTGACCCTTACCTCTTCCTCTCATGACCTAAAAAGAGTCCTGCAGGCGGAATTAAGCGTTTTGTGAATACAGAATGGCTCAAATACATTGTTACAACTGTATTGCTGTTCTAATTTAAACTCAATGATGCCTCAGTATTTTACTAATTCTGAGCAAGACTTAGACTTGTAATATTCGCATCCCAAAGCAGCCTATGGGATGCATGCTACAAGTGTCGTGACATGCATGTAAATGTTATTTATACGTTGTAAATAAATAAACCTTTACCACTACTACTTTACTACTAGGTGCCTTCCACGGTGATGGCCTTCCACAGTCAGTCCGCCCAGGTGCCCGACTGCCCCGCCCCCACCCCCGAACACTCGTGGTTCAGCATATGGGAAGGCTTCAGCTTCTTCATGGTGAGGAACCAATTCTTGAGAAATTCCTAACGTTCGTTACTTTAAATTTGCAGTATTTAAAGACACATTGTAAAACTTAAAGCTTTGCTTCAATAAAACAACAGCAGCGACAAATTTTAGCATTTATCCGATCCATCTGCCCTATTAAAAAGACAAAGCAATGTCCACATGAGATGTTCTAAGCGACCGATTGTATACATGTACGGGTTAGGGTAGAATCTAGAAGTTAGCCAAAGGAGCCTGGGCGTTTGCAGAGGTTTTTAATCATGTAGAGAAAGAAGCATAAAAGAAAATTGTTGTTTGTTTACAGCACACGGCAGCAGGTGAGGGAAGTGGCCAGGTTTTCTCCAGCCCAGGCAGCTGTCTGGAGAAGTTCCGCCCGGCCACTTTTATTGAGTGTCACGGAGCCCAGAGGACATGCGGCTTCTTCGCCAATAAGTTCAGCTTCTGGCTGACAACTTTGCCAAGGTAAGGGAATCAATAATGAGTTATAGATAAGTAACAACAGATCTAGACACACAGACGAACGCTACTGAAAACATAACTTCTTGGCCAAGTGGCTTCTTCGTCAACAACTTCAGCTACTGGTTGACAACTTTGCCAAGGTAAAGAAGCCAATAATGACTTATAAGTAAGCAACGAATTAAGCTTTTGGCTGACAACTTTGCCAAGGTAAGGACAGCAGTGATGACTAACAACATCATTAAATAAAGAGTTATCAACCAAGGATTGAGGTGTTCAAGAATTCATTCTTTCCTAGAACTATCGCAGAGTGGAACTCACTGTCACCAAGTACAGTAGGGGCATTGTCAATAAATAGCTTTAAACAATGTCTAGAGCTAGAACTTCAAGGATTAGGTGTAACAAGTCGATCGTTGTATTATAGCCAGCTGCCGCCGCGCCGCGTGCCTGCGAAGCTGATGTGTTACGCCGAAAGGCGGTTATACCGGCTATACAGATACAGAAGCTGGTGTGTTACGCCGAAAGGCGGTTATACCGGCTATACAGATACAGAAGCTGGTGTGTTACGCCGAAAGGCGGTTATACCGGCTATACAGATACAGATAAATAGTGGGGATTCATAAAACAACAACCTTCCCAGACAAGGGGGCCACAATCTAATGATATTGAGGTCTATCCATCTCTTAAGTTAGGTTTTAGAGTTATCGTGTTAACTGATCTAACATTCTTGAGATTTTTTTCAAACAATCTTGAGATTTTTCAAAAAAAATCTTGAGATTTCCCCCCCAAAAAATCTTGAGATTTTCCAAAAACAAATTTTGAAATTTAAAACAAAAATCTTGAGATTTTCGATTCTCAGCGCCGGGGTCATAATGATCCGTACGGAATAGTAACTTTGTGAGTATAAGCTGAAAACAGTTAAAAGCATTTGTCCAAAGTGCTCGGGATTGTCCATATTAAAAATGGACTACAATTTTATAGCAGGGGAGATTTTGACTCTTGTCACCATATATATGACTGTGTTTTTACTTACCTTTTCATTCCAAACTTTAGTGACTACGATCCCGTGAGGAACGCCCAGGCCTACGAGCCCAGAGACGGTGAGGTCAATGACCTGGTTGCCGGGCAACAGCCGCCAACAACTGAGATGGAGCGCATGATTGGTCGGTGCCGTGTGTGCATGATGGTGACGCCATCCATACGGGCACAGATAGAGCGGGCACGGCAACAAGGGTGAAAAGGGTACCACCATGAGGCGTCGCCAAAAAAGAACGCGTCGAGGGTAAAGCTAAAAAGTATTGTGTGCTAATGCAAAGGTGCGCCAAAAACAGTTAGTCATGACAAGCAAATGGATAACATTTTGGAAACGCTATATTTTGAAATCTACTATCTTTCGTCAGTGACAATAAGAGACGGGAGAAATGCAGGTTTATAAGCACGAACTCCTGCAGTCTTAGTGTCACTGACGAAAGTTAGTGGATGCTACCTGAAACGTCTGACCGTTAACAAAATCATATCTAGTCGTTTGAGTAACTGTCGTTTGGAATATGAAATCTAATTTTGGTGAAATCTATGTTTGGTTTATTACAGGTATTTCCGTTAGCAAGTTTGACAACCTCCCACTAACTGCTAACGAAAATACGTATTTAACCTTACATGATCAGTTCGTAAGGTTAAACTGATATTTGGCATAAAACATCGCCATAAAAGTAACTTGCTTAAAAAAGTCGTCATGTAGCCGGTTTTTTCCTGAATGCATTATACAAATTGTCAATGGGTTAAGTCGTGAAATATGCTCCACCCTAGCAATAGCACACACGTTTTTTAGGTTTACATCCATTGAGCAGCTACCTAATCAAAAGGTGCTTGTTTTCAATTCAAGACTTCTAGAACTATCCATTCTCCAACCACATTTTGGTACTACCCTGTAATAAACACATCATAGCCTTGTATCACAGTGTATGTAATATCCTGTAGTATATACATGTACTACAATTCGGTATCTCATAGTGAATGTGGTGTATGTATGTGTCTCTTTTAGCTTTTTTATTGTTTTCTTTTTTTCTCTGTGCTGCAACATTTATCGATGTATAATCTAGTACAAACCAACATGTTCAATGGTATATCATACAGCAAATATATGTTAAACTTGCCAGCTTTACAAATTTGTGTAGTAAGAATAACAACAATACAGTAACTACCTTCAGTTTGACATCGTTTCACATGGTGCTACAGGAATAAGTTCATCAAATAGCCAACGTCTGTTCTAGTTATTTCTTTAATCATTTCTAAGACACAAGCTTAGACTTAATTGCGATGTCTTTGCTGCCATTATATTTCAACGATTGTTTAGGTTGATAATAACTACACTAAGTATATGCAGTACTAAGGAATAGTCGGAAGAAATAGGAGTACAGGGTTGTTTTGTATCGTAGTTGTGTTGTTTTTCCACATTGTATTTGGACTCTCAGGGCTTAAAAGTCGTGTGTGAAGTTTAACGTGGTTCTAAATAAAATATACTGCATCTAATTATTGTGTTCAAGATTTATTCGTAACAATTTCTAATGTTTTAAGAACAAAGGGACATGTTTCAGATGGTAGTCAGCACTAGTGACACTTGTTTGTGTGCAGATGGCATTCAGCGAAATGTATACATGTACGTATGCATATGGTGTTGAGCACAGGTTCTGTATGCATATGGTGTTGAGCATAGGTCCTGTATGCATATGGTGTTCAGAACAAGTCCTGTATATATATGGTGTTGAGCACATGTCCTGTGTGCATATGGTGCTAAGCACAATGTACAACTAAGTATGTTTGTATGCTGATTGTGTGTGCAGCAACAGGGGAAGGCACTGTTCTCTTTTTGACACATCATTCAGTACCAAGGACAGGCATGTTTTGTACATGTGTGCAGCTGATGTGTTCAGCACCAAGGACAGCTCTCTTCTTGATAAGTGTATTGGGTTCTTTTGGGTGTAGATACAGGCTTGGCTCTTGTGGTTAACGCTTGGAGCTCTCTCATACTGGGGCCACCAGCTTTATATCACTGTCCAAAATGACTGCATGCAATCCCTCACAACATATCCAAGCTGAGCTGGCCCTGGAATCGAACTCGCACTCTTGGGTCTACAAAAAAGACCCATATGCTCGCACTCTTGGGTCTAAAAAAAAAGACCCATATTCTCGCACTCTTGGGTCCACAAAAAAAAGACCCATATGCTCGCACTCTTGGGTCCACAAAAAAAAGACACATATGCTCGCACTCTTGGGTCCACAAAAAAAAAAGACCCATATGCTCACACTCTTGGGTCCACAAAAAAAAGACCCATATGCTCGCACTCTTGGGTCCACAAAAAAAAGACCCATATGCTCGCACTCTTGGGTCCACAAAAAAAGACCCATATGCTCGCACTCTTGGGTCCACAAAAAAAAAGACCCATATGACCAACCGGCAACATTGCAATTTACCGTTTGTGCCAATGGCCATGTCAGCAAGATATAGCCGATAACAATTTTCAGAGTATATTGTACAATCAACTTTTACTTAATAGATAAAGATCTATTTGTAACATTTAGCTTCTGATTAACAAGTACAAACAAGTAACAAAACCAACCAACGAACCAACGATAACCAACAAAGGCCAGTGTGAACGTAACAATTCTGGCCGAGATACGTTGGACATACCTGTGCCTATCGAAAGGCTCTGTTCTGCACCTATAGCTGCTGCTTTGTATGTGCTGCACTTTAAGTTTGGGCCACTAGGTGTCTCACCTACAGCATACAGCATTAAACATTACAACTACTGCAACTGTTACAGTACTACTCATTACATTCCTCACATATTCATAAATATTTGCATTAATTAATATTTGCATTACATCACATTGAACATATATACAATATCCAACTTTTGCACATATTTATGTTTACCGAAGGAAAACATATTGTTTTTGCTCAGTTTCCTCTTCTTCTCCAAACACTAAATTCTGACCTGGCCAATGACCTGATTTGTTGACGTCTGGTACCATGGTAACTGGTGTTGGGTTACATGATGTTGCAATTTTATAGCAGGAGGGATTTATACTTCTGACCATATATATGAATGTATTTGAGTAAGAATTAGCAGAGCAGACCATGTGTGAAGGTAAACATTATGCATTTGCTTTGCATATATTACCTTTCTAGTTCTCTTTTTGAGAAGCATAGTGAGCTCTTTCACACGCATGGTGTGTCTTCCCTAATACTAGTATATGAGACAGTCCACTTAAATTTTTCCTCTTAACAACTATCATATAATATTATTATCTAATGGTAGCTTGAATATGTATATGGGGCCTCTGTTGGTCAATATATATTATACTGACCATGGGCAAATCTTATCTTATTCTTCAAGAAGATTCGCATCTCTTGCTTCTCTCTGCAACTCCTCTAGTTGTCTGGAACATAGAAAAAATCATTTTTGTTAGAACTGCAAAAGGTACTTTATATTGTTACTATGCCAGATTCTGTGTTAAGTTCTATGACTACATGTGACAAAGTAGGTTACAAAAACTGTATGTCAATGTCTTGTTCTATTCCATTTGACTTTGTTTAACATCTATGGATTTTCCCTTGCCTATGGCCAAATTCCCACTGGCTCTTCTGGAACCCCATTTCCTGTCTCTGACCTTAAATGGCTAGCAATGACGTGCCCATTCAAATATGGATGGACGCAAACAAACACACAAAAACACATACACACACACACACACACACACACACAGACACAAATACTCACACACACACACACATACACACACACACACACACACACACACACACACACACACACACACACACACACACACACACACATAAACACACAACACACTCAAACACATACACACACACACACACACAACACACACACACACACACATGCACACAGGTGCCATTTCTTACCGCCTAAGTTTGGTGACTTTTAGACTTGAGCTCCTTGTTGTGATGTTTATGTTAAAACAAACATGCACACACACACGCGCACACACACAAAGTGTACACATTGAAAACACACACACAGTCCTTTCTTACCTCCTAAGTTTGGTGACTTTAGACTTGAGTTCCTTGTTGTGATGTCTGATATGGATAACCTCCTGCCATGCTGCGTCTTCAGCTGACTTGTTGGTCTCCCAACGTAGGAACAGGCCAGACCACAGTTGCTGCAGATACCACAAAAAAAGTAGAAGGTTTGGAACAAACAGATCTGTAAGTATTGAAATGGAAGAAAGAGACCTGTGGAAACCTGGCACTACATTCCACATGCTTTAACAAGGATTCGATGCAAAGCAGTCATCCTAAACTGAGGTGAAGCTTGATGCTTCTTCAAGTAGCTACCAGTGCGATACAGCTTTGCCATACACCTAGCATTTAGAACTACACTGTGTCACCCCTGATCTACACTTTAACGTTGAGGTGGCCATTTACAAAGGCCACTATGATAGCACTGATTGTACTCACGAGACTCTGTGGTGCTACAGATGGCCAGACCACACCATTGTTGGGCTCATAGAGGGGGTTCAGGTAGGTTCTTAACATCTCAGGGCTGTTCACATATGACCTGGAGGGTCAAAAACAAAACAACTTCACTACTAAGTATTAGTTCACATCATTCTCTGTGTTCAAGACTTTATAGGATGAGATATCTATTGGGAAGGCCATGCAAAACTTGTGGCACAGCTACATGTCATCTGTTGCAGGTAGTTTTCAGAAAACAGCATTTTGAGACCTTGACATCTAAGGAATTGATCAGTCTAATTGCTGCTGAGAGTGTAGTTTACCCAGACTGTTCTGATTATACTATTTAAGTTCATTTAACCAGGCTATTCTGGACATGTACATGTACTTACCACAGGGAAACTGTTTTGGTCTGGAGCTTGACTTTCTTTCTGTCGGATTCATTGTTGCACAAGAATGTACCTGTGTGAAAACAAAACTCTTTCACTTTGTGTAATACAATATACATGTATACATGGAGGGTCCAAACCCTCGTGGTCGCCCAAAGAAGAAATGGTTTGACAACATAAGGGAGGACCTCCACCACTAAAACTTAGACAACATCAACCCACAGAACAGAGGCAAGTGGCGGGCTGCCATCAAGCCTCAGTATTGCTGTGCAACCACGTCTAACCCTCGGAAGACGGGGAACAACAGACGATATACCAGACAGTGAGTGAGTGATTGACATGCAGCAAATGACTTATACCCTGAGAACATTTATGCGAAGATAAAATTGCTTTACCCTTTCTTTAAGGAGAAAGAAAGACTTACCAAACTGTGAGGCGTAGGAGTGTTCAAACAGCAGAACCAGGAACTGTTCATTAAACTCAAAGGAACATGGGAACTGCTGGTACACCTGGAGGGAAGGTACATTATACATGTCAGCAGGGGGACATTTGTAGGGGAGGTACGTTATACATGTCAGCAGGAGGCCAGTGGTAGGGAAGGTACATTATACATGTACATGTCATCAGGGGAATCATCTTGGATGTCATTACTGAACTTCTTTTCTTTATCCAGACGAATTGTTTTTACCCCAAAACTTAAAATCTGGCTGGTTTACATGACTTTGATTTGTACTGGGTGAGTGATTTTTCTTTGCTGCATTGAGTGTTACCACCTACATCTATGATGTGAAAAGGAACAATGGCAATGGTTTTTGAACAGTTTTAGTAAAATCCTTGCTTCCAAAATTCTGAGAGGTGCGGGTACATGTACAGGTGAAACTGGTCTGGTGCAGGAAATAATAATTTTCAATGACATCTGCACCAGTGCAGGTATGCAGAAAAAAAAGGATTTTGAGCCAGAACATGTGTGCCTGACCTGTAAGACACAGTCTAGGAAGAGTAAGAAGACGGGAGCCTCAAACTTCTGCTTGCTTGTGGAGTGGGCAGACTTCGCGCACCTATCTGCAAACGGGTGGCCTGCCTGCAACCACTCACGTTCTACCAGAGCTTCAAACCTGCAGAGAAGGTAAGGATCAACTACATGAAGTAACATTTGCATAATGTTTACCTTCACATGGTCTACATGTAGTCTAACAAAGTACTGCCATATCTATTCTTTTTATACATTCATACATATGGTGACCAGCCCCTCCAACTCTGTCCTGCCACTTGCAGGGTGGCCTGTGTGTAACCACTCACATTTAACCAGAGCTTCAAACCTGCACAGAACAAAGAATAAACTTTGAATCTACTAAAAGATAATACTAGTATTTGCAAAGCAAATGCATAATGTTTACCTTTACACAGTGTGTAGCCTAACAAACTACTGCCCTGTTTACTCTTACTCAAACACATTCATATGTACCTGACCAGCCCCTCCAACTCTGTCCTGCCACTTGCTACATAATGTAACTTAACCACCACAGGGTGTATGCTACAGACCAGTTAGTCACAATGTTAACAGCCATCTTGCCTATGGCTACACCATAGAATTCATAGTTTACATGTACATTTAAACCCATAAAGGTTAAATCTTACCCTCTGACAGTGCGACAGTCTGGGTTCAGGATGATCTGAGTGAGAGACGTGACTTGAAGCGTGGTGTCAATGCCCTCTGACCCATGGACCAGCACAGAAGCTCCCTCTCGGTCAATACACTGTGCGGCCAGGCAGGCTGTGGTCAGGATGTCCTTAACATGGGTGAGCCAGTTGCTGGCTTCAAGCTTGGACAGCCACTTGTCCATGCTGGAGTTGGGGTCCTGGCAAGCTGTGGTAGTACAAAGATGAAGATTCTTTATTGACTCAACAAAAAGAACATGGACTTTTGTATGGTTGTATATAATGATTGTAATTCTTTACCTGGACATTCTGTTTCAATGGACACTATAATTATATATGACACAGTACAAGACTATTTCCTGAAAGGGGTGAAAGAGGCTATTTACATCAGAGCCCATCACCATTCACTCAACAGCGACGGGGGCTGACATTGTCTACATGTATCTTAGATCCAGTGGGGACGTCACACTTCAAAGAAGCCACATGACAAGTCTCACTGGGTCAGTCTACTGAGGAAGACCAGAGTGAAAGCTCTAGGTGAGAGAACTTTATTATGTTAAGTTTTCACTTGAAACATGTAATTACCGACACAGATGAACTTTCATGATATGATTGTAATTCTTGTTTACGCAAGTATCAATAACCTCTTCCCCTTGTCCATGTGGCATGACATGCATGCAAACAAAATTATTTTTATTCCCAAGTTGTTCTTGGGAATAAAATGTGCTGGAAAAAACATGTTTTTACCTTCCACGAGTCTGACCAGACTATCCTGCAGGGCGTTCCACCTCTCGATGGGTTTGTGGATCCGTCTCCACTGGGGATAGTGCACCTCTGGCTCAACACCCCCACCTAGCAGAGACAAGCAGAATTGCAGGCACAAAAACTCAAAATTACAATCAAACCGCCACCTAGCAGAGATGAGCAGAATTGCAGGTATAGAAACTCTAGCCTGTACCATCCAGATTTTGCTCTGCTACACAAATCATGAATGGTGTTTTTTTTTTAGAGTAAGGCAGCAAAATCCGAATGGTACCCAGGCTATAAAACCTCTTTTAAAAGCAAAAATTGCAACCAATGAAAAGTATAGTAGTTATAGTTAATAAATATAATGATAAAAAAATTTGTTAATCATACTGGTCAAGCCAAAATTCAGAAGACATTTCAAACTCTGAGATTTATTATAATTTCTAGAACTATAGTTTCAATGTTATTCAGGCTTTAAGACATAAAGTTCTTTTCAAATAAATCAATGATAGACATAGGAATGTATGAGCAGTTAAAATCTCTAACCTCGAGCTTTAGCGTTGGCGGCCACGTTTGGAGCGCGAGTATCGATGATGTAACCTCGCTTGCCGGGTCGTAGCGTCGCGTTCAGGAGTTGCTCGTCTGATTTGCAGCGTCGACCGTTTGGACCAGTCAGGGGCTGGCTACTCCGTAATATTGATGTCTGCAGCAGAGGAAAAATTATAATTATTGAGTACTGCAAAAAACATACTACATTTTTGTGGGGATCTCGTTTAGCAGATGGCAGGACTTTCACCATCTCAACTTATATCTCTATATATGACTTATAACATGACCTAAAATGATAGAAATAAATGGCAGGCTGCCATCAAGCCTCAGCAATCAGTGTGCAAGCATGTAAGTGTGCAATCCTTGTTGACACCCCGAACAAGAGATGTTGAACAGGATAGTGAGTGAGTGTGTGAGTAAAAGAGGAAGAAGGGGTTTCAAAGAATTCTGTAAGGACAGTAGTGTACATGTACGTACATGTATATGAACATTGGAAACAGATAACTTTTACACACATCAAAATCTGCGAAAATAGAAATGGCTGTGTCTCATAATTATTTTCCATTAATTGAAGACTAACTATACTTAGAATAAGGTATCCTAAGACCATATACACTATCATACACCTGATAGTGATATTATCAAATATACATAGAATATTTACCCCATTTGCAGCGTGGAAGTAGCTCAGCACAGGAAACCTGCCCCCCTGTCTGAATGCAGCAGACTTGGCCAGTGTGGTGTCATCTATGGACTTGGGTACAACCACTGCAGAGGGGTAGGATGGGCACACCTGGGGGTAAAGAGAAAAAAAATCTAATACCTGTATTCATAAAAGCAACCTGGATATAATTTTGAAACATTTTTGGTATCTGTTGTCTGTATCTGTATTGCTAGTACACTCACGCTTTGGCGTAACACACAGGGGTTAAAATACTTTTTTTTTCCAGGTTGCCCGGGCGGCAACCTGGGTCAAAAGCCAGGTTGCCCCATCAGGTTTTCAGGTTGCCCCATTTGAAAGGACCTGGATTCTTCAAATCTGCTACCCAATATCCATTATCCTTTCTTTTTATCAATTAATAGGTTTGTTTATCAAGTAGCAAACACAACAGCTGTCAAACATCATCGTTTATTCAAAAATTCTACCTTCACATCTCCGACTCTGAGCCGGAAGAACTGCTGGTTTCATCATCTGCCTCATCCTGCCTGGGCCTTTTTCCATAAGGTCTGGTCTTGGGTCTCCTGGGGGCCTTCCCAGCTGACCACCACTTAGCAATAGCACTGTCTGGGTTGAAGGTGTCAACCGTTGTCGGTGATAGAGAAATTGCCATCAAGGCAGTGACAGTGTCTGAGGTGAGTCTGCTGCGCCAGTCAGACTTGATCCGTTTCATTAAACTAAACCCTCTCTCACACTCTGCAGTTGACAGTGGGAAGAGCAAGACTATCTGTACTAGTGCAAGGATGTCCCTGAACCTTTCCAGGTGGTGCCTCATAACTTCCTGCCACAGGTCAAGGTACTTGATATGCCCAGCAGTCAACTTTCTCTTCACCAGCCTCTTTAACTCAGCCCACTGCAGGAGGCAGTCCTCCAGGGAGTGCCCTGTCCTCTCAAGGGTTTCCTTGTAATGGGCAAAAATGGTGGACACCTCTTCCTCTCCATAGCTGTCCAGCTCTCCATCACCTGGGGGCCATAGTGTGGGATCAAATATCAGACCTGCATACAGTACAGCATTGTTAAGCAGAGTGTCCTTGAACCTACCATCCAGATGAAAGCTAAGAGACGACACAACAGACTCTGCCACATCCACCACAGACTCCTCTTGTCCTCTTCCCCTTGTGTGTGTCAGACCAACAGTTTTGTATCTTGCAGGTCGCTGATTATCATCAGTCTCTATTCCTTCCATCATCTTCTTTCTCAGCTTCCTCTTGTCTCCACTCAACTCCTCCATCTTTGCCTTTACAGTCTCAACTTTCGTCCTCACCATTTCTAGACTTACTTCCCGCTGCTGAAAACAGCTGCTGAGAGATGACAAGAACTTGATGATGTACAGCAAGAACTTGAGGAACATCACAAACTTTGCAGATTTCACAGTCTGCAGGATTCCTCTTGCCTTGCTTTTGCTGTCCCCAGTTCCAGCTTCAGCGACTTGTTCTAGATGTGTGACCAGAGCTTGGTAGCTTTTGTCTACTACACCTAGAGCTCTGTCAACATGACCAATCCACCTTGTACCCACAGTATTCACAGGCTTCAGTGCAGGACAGTTCAGGGTATCCCCTGTGGCCTTCAAACTAGCCAAGTTCAGTGGACTGTTCTTGTAGAACTTATAGATGGTCTGTAGGGTGTCAGACACATGCTTAAAGTACGGAACATCGTTCAATGTATTTTTGTATGCCAGCTCAAGTTTATGCCCAGAACAATGAATTCCAAGCACCTGATGCCCAGAGGACAGATTCTTCAACCGAGTAACAACCCCAGAAACATGTCCCATCATGACATTGGCACCGTCAACCCCTGCCGCTACCAACTTGTGCCGCCAATCAACCTGGCCCAGATCCTGTTCAAGGGCTTCCACTACAACATTGGTGATGGATTCGGCATCTGCTTTGTGAATTGGCTTTAAAGCGACAAATTTTGTTACTGGTCTGAAGTCTTCTAGAATATTTACATAAATGATTTCCTCCTGCACATTGGCAATATCTGTGCTGCCATCAGATAGAACAGCGAAGAAACTTGCATTATCTACAACCGTCTTCAGCTCTTCAAACATGGTGTCATGAATATACATAGCAAAGTTTTTTGCATTCATGTTGTTTAGGTATGTTTCACCTATGTGAATACCGTTGCACTTCTGTAGCTCCATCAAGCCTTTAAAATCTGTAAAAGGCCTACCATTTTTGGCCAGATAGAAAGCAGTGCGGAACAACGTTTGCAACTGTGACATATCTTGTTTTTCCATCCTACGCACTGCTTGTGGCAGGGGTCTTTCCTGTAGATAAAAAAAAGGAACAAAAGCATCTAGTCAATATGCTATTTCTACAATGGGCAAAAAAGACCAACAAACAATAAGAACATTGAAACAGTTTTATCATTGAAAAAATGCACATAAAATAAAACCATTGCCTACAGCCTCGCCTTATAATTCTAGCTAAGGCAAAGGGAACAGAAATATCTAGGCAGTATGTTACAATGTACTTTTATATTTGGCACAAAAAAAATACAAAAACATTGAAATGATTTCATCACTGAAAAAATGCACACAAAAAAATAAAATCATTGCCCACAGCCTCGCCTTGTAATTCCTGGCCTGATCGTATTTTAGCTAATGCAAACATGTGGCAAAAGGAACAAAAAATATCTAGTCAATATGTAGTCAATATGTGCTTTAATGTGCTTCTATATTTGGCAAAAAAAAATAAGCAGAATTACACGATATCATCGTTAAACAAATGCACAAAAAATAAAGCCCTTGCCCACAGCATTATAATTTCTGGCTCCATAGTATTTCAGCTATGATCATTTAAAAACTAACACCATGTTAAATGTGGCAAAAAATCCACTGGTACTTTTAACTCTACAACCCTCGTGGCGGCACTAATTAGTCAAGTTAGGGACGGGGTTATTTTTTTCTTAAGCATGTAGTGAAGACGGCTTTTGTAAGATTTATCGGAGAACATCAAAACTAACAAACCTGGCGAGGTATCAACGAGAGCCTCCTCTTTTCTTGCACTGCTTTGTGCGTCGCAGAATTCTCGTGTGCCGTTACACTGGAGATCTTCATGGTGGTACAGCCAGTCACGAATGAATTTCTGCCCCCGGACTTGTCAAACTCCTTGCACCAGTCACACACCATAGTCTCAACGTCTCCTTCGGTGACGTGGCGAAGCCATGGACGGTCGCTTTTCCATGCTTCTACAAACACGTATTTACGAATACGTTTCTGTGTTTTCCCCGCTGCGGTCGGCCCACCGGTCGAGTCCTCTCCTCGAGTCTCCGCCGCTGCGTTCGGCCCGCCGCCGGTCAAACCCTCCCCTCGAGTCTCCGCCGCTACGTTCGGCCCGCCGCCGGTCAAACCCTCTCCTCGAGTCTCCGCGGCCGAATCTTGATCCCCGACCTCCGGATCTGTAGACGCAGTTTCCGTGTCCTCGTCGTCAGGTTCATGACTTGTTGACGCCCTACGGGCGAAGTACTTAAACAACGTGTTTTTACCCGCCATGTTCAGTGAAAAAACTTTCCAAAAATGATAGCGAGGCAAGGAAGTTACGTTTCACTTCCGTACAACCAATCGTGTGGCTCTCCGTAGTTCATTTGCATACTTTGAGCTGAAGATCCCATATCGAATGGCAGCAACAGGCGCCGCGCACGTGAGCGAGTTTGGAGGACAAGGGATGTCCCGCCCCCTTCCTAGTGTCGGCTTTCTCTTTGGGACGCCGGCTCCATATATGGGCTGGCCTATTTAAATTCCCACGATGCCTAATAGAAGTAAACACAAATATGTTTCCTCGCCTCCCGTGTTCAACAGATCCCTCCATGTAACTCTGAACATTAACACCTTCCACTAAATTGCATTAATTCTATATCTTGCCAAGTTGAAAAAATACAAAGAGTTACTAAGTCACCAGCCTTATAATTATTATTTAGCGTGCTTTACAGGTAACGTCACGCATGCAAGGACTCGAGCCAGCGATTTCGCTAACAGAACCTTTATTCCAGAAAAGGCGTGGCAGACCAATGGTCTTCCAGACCAATAGGAACAAGTATGATACTGATCTTTGTTATAAATGTTGTATCCAACTGGAAAGCTTCTGTCTTCATTCTTTGAAGTAACAAAACTAGTCAACTACTGGTAGCACATGCCCATATAGCAAAGTACATGTTGGCAACTGGTATAAGTTGATTATACAATAAACTACTGGTACCACAAAAATACTACTGTTTAACTTCTGGTACAACAACACTATAACTTTATACTAAGTGCTGGCTAACTTGAAATTCAACAAAATATACGTTATATAATAACAGTTTTTACTAAATTCGGTACTGTGGTCGGTGACTCTGACTAAGCCGGAAGAGCTACAACGACAGTCTTATCTTTTCTGTCACTGCTTTGTGCGTTGCAGAATTTTCGTGCGCCGTTAAAGTTGTGAGCCTCATGGTGGTACAGCCAGTCACGAATGGATTTCTGCGCCCGGACTCGTCAAACTCTTGGCACCAGTCACACACCATAGTCTCAACGTCTCCTTCGGTGACATGGCGAAGCCATGGACGGCCACTTTTCCATGCTTCCATGAACACGTATTTTCGTGCACGTTTCTGTCTTTTCCCCGCTGCGGTCGGCAGATCGTCGGTCAGGCCCTCTCCTCGAGTCTCCGCCGCTGCGTTCGGCAGGCCCTCTCCTCGAGTCTCCGCCGCTGCGTTCGGCAGGCCCTCTCCTCGAGTCTCCGCCGCTGCGTTCGGCAGGCCCTCTCCTCGAGTCTCCGCCGCAGTTTTCCCGTCTTCTTCGTCAGGTTCATGACTTGTTGACGCCCGGCGGGCGAAGTACTTAAACAACGTGTTTTTACCCGCCATATTGAGAAAACTTTCCAAGAAAACTGATAGCGACGCATGGAATTTACGTTTCACTTCCGCACAACCAATCGTGTGGCTCGTAGTGTTTTCTGTGGATATCGACGTCTCCAGTTTAGTTCGTAAACTTGCGCCCATTGTAGCGATTGGCTCTCCGTAATTCATTTGCATACTTTGAGCTGAAGGTCCCATATAGAATGACATCGAAAGAGGCGCCGCGCACGTGCTCAGGGAGGCGAAACGTCAATCAACACCCACTGTTATTTGAGAAGCCGCGGAGCGGCCGCTGTAGAGGCCTAGAGGGACTGCTCACGTGCAGGCCGAGGCCGGCTAAAGCCGCGGCACTGTTTATTTCAGAAGCCGCTGGCCGTAAACCCAGCCGCTGTAAAAATAACTTGCGCTCCGGGCAACCTGGCTTTCCGAATAAGTCTCGCACAGAAAAAATTACTTGCGCGGCGAGACTGCGAGACCGGGTATTTTAACCCCTGAACACACCAGCTTTTTTGGAACTAGGTTACCCCAAACCCTATTCAATCTAACACATATCTTAATGATAGTTGTATCTTCACCAATGTATGTACTAAGTACATGTATCTACCCGCAACTCTACAATGATCATACAATTATGCTGCAATCAACAACTACATGTAGGTACATGTATATTGTAGCCTAAGAGTGTCGCCTTGCCAGTGTGAACCTGCTGGACAGAGCCACTTGAAGATGTGGTATGAAGATTGCTGTCCACCTCTGTATGTGTCAGGGACCTGTAGCAGTATAATCAAATACTGGATACATGTACTACTACCAGTAACTATTACTACATTGTATACATTGCACAGCATTGTTAACAATTGATTAACCTGTGGTTGCAACTGAAGGCTGGGCAACCCTGATTTAGAACACTGACCTTGTACTCTTTATTGACATAGCTGATTCTCCAGTCTTCCCCGGACAGTCTGCCGAACTCCGTCTCCGTCGGGAAGGCCTGCCAGCCATCCTCGATCACTTGGTTAACTAATGTTTTTGCAAAGGCTGGGCTACCCCAAGGAGACCCAGGGCAACACTAATATAAAACACTGACCTTGTATTCTTTGTTGACTTAGCTGATCCTCCAGTAACTTTTTATTGGCGTATCTTATTACATGGAGTGGATGTCTAACTTTCACCGTAGTACAATGTGTCTAGCCTGGTTACGAAACCTATTATAGCTCCCGAGTCCTACAGCCTCTAGCAGAGAGGCTATAATAGGTTTCGTAACCAGGCTACAATGTATCATGAAGACTAAAGTCAACCTGTTTTCAAGTACTGACCTTGTACTCTTTGTTGACGTAGCTGATCCTCCAGTCTTCCCCGGACAGTCTGCCGAACTCCGTCTCAGGCGGGAATTCTTGCCTGCCAGCCATCCTCGATCACTTGGTTAACTAATGTTTTTGCAAAGGCTAGGCTGAGCCAAGGAGGCTTGGGGCAACCCTTGTTTCAAGCACTAACCTTGTATTCCTTGTTGACGTAGCTGATCCTCCAGTCTTCCCCGGACAGTCTGCCAAACTCCGTCTCGGGCGGGAAAGCCTGCCAGCCGTCCTCGATCACATCAAACATCGGGCGGAAGAAGAACGGATACGTCAGCGTGATGGTGTCTGTGGGGGAGGAGAGTTTTCATTGGCTGTTAAAAATGGTGTCTGGAGAAAGGAGAGTTTTAATTGGCTGTTGGTCTCTTTCAAAAATGGTGTTTGGGAGAAGGAGGGTTTTGATTGGCTGTTGTTCTCTTTCAAAAATGGTTTCTGGAGAAAGTAGAGTTTTCATTGGCTGTTGGTCTCTTTCAAAAATGGTGTCCACTGTTTGACATGCAACAAATATCTTATAGCAAAGATAGAAATACATGTTGACAGATCCTGCAAACAAAGTACAACAGCTTTTTATTAGTGACCAAAATGAAAATGAGACCCTAGAGTTGAATTTTTGCTGTGACCTCTCCACTCTGAAACCAAGAATGGCTACTGTATGACAATTACTACTGAACTTAAAATTCCATTTTTTTCTCTACCCTGAATTAAACCATTGCGACCATTTCACAATTCAAAGCACCCACAGTTGTGTGTTTCCTTACCCAGAGAAGACAGGACCTCAATAGAACTTGCGATGTTGAGACATTCCTCCATCCCAGGGATGTCCAGTCTGATAATCCTGAAGTCCTTACACTTCACAGTCAGGTAACCCATGGAGCCAACAAACTTCTTCTCTATACTGTCCACTCCACTGTGCAGCAACTGGATATTATATAGGATTAAGACTTATTGAATACAATGTAACAGACTGAACACAATTAGAGCTTGAAATACCACCTGCATATGCAGATAAGTGCAAGCACATGGATATCAATGGAGGATTATTGCAGTTGTGCACAAATTTCTACTACTAATGTCTAGTACCTTACATGTACCTCACCAAGGTGACTCTTGAATCAGGCATGTTGCCCTCAACTCTGGAATTGAATTGGGTATATAGCATTACCCTCTTATAATGCAATATGCTACGACTACGAGTACCAGTGTACCTACATGTGTAACACAGTACTACAGTACAAGCTTTGTATTGGGTATAGAAGTGTGTATGGATTTTGTTCATTGTACATGTATTCATAGACTACTGAACTGTACAACTGGAAGATATCTAGACTTAAACTTACCCAGAGCTCCTCAGCATTTTTCTGCCGTGATGACAGGATGAGGTGATGTCCGGTGACACAAAGAGTTCCCTCGATCCGGGGGCAGAGCGGGCGATGCAACACCACTCCGTCCACCTTGGGGGTCTTGATCAGCTCAACAAACTCCATCTCGTGAAATTCAACAACTGAAACATGAAGATAGGAGTAAAACATTGAACTTTATTCCAACACAAGGGTTACAGAGCGATCAAATTTTCGATGACCACTAGTACTGTCGCCTTCATCAGGATAATTAATGACCAATCACTTCACAACGTGATCTCGCAAGAGTTACGGTTTACAAACACGTGACCTTATTCACACAAGAAGATAGGAGATTTTTGTACAGGGTGTCTTGTGTGCCTGGACTGAAATGAAGAGGTAATGGTGTATGGAGCCTTATGTTAAGTTGTGTGTTAGTATTTTGCCATTGTTGTCAATGTATGCATGTTTTGTATAGTCCCTGTATGTGTGCTGTACTGTATGTGTGTTAGAATGGACCATAGGAATGATAGTTACATGTCATCTTGCATTCTAAATGTGAATCCAAATAAAGTCAAAGTCTATTTTTCTTCAATAAGTAAGATGCGTCGTATTATGTTGCTACTTTGCTATTGATGAATTACTAGTAGGTAGTATAGTATACATGAGAAATTATCTTTGAGTCGACAGAAAATTTTAGTTTTGAGGACGTAACGTTTATACTCATATCATATAGACGGTTTTTAACCTAAATGCAACATTTTGAGGAGATAAAACTTACCTCAACAAATCACAAGAACTGGTAAATTATCTGCTGGGCTCTAATATAGTCAGATATTTCTTCAGTATCGAAATATCTTGATTTAGAAACGTTCTGTCATGATTCTTAGGTCAGTCGACCACCATTTTCTTTTTGCCTATTCCATTACAAAACCGGGACCGAACAAGAGATTTAGAAATTGTATTTTGACAATGTATTTACTCATAGTATTGACAAAAGCTGATAAATATATATCAATTATATTAAAGAGAATGTATTAATATGTATTTATATTCCAATATATCAACAAAAAATATTCTATTATTTTCCAAAATACCCCCTTTCCGAACTGTTATTAGTATAAGCCTATCTCGTGTAACGCGAGAAAAGGCGAGATCATGACGTCATGCACTGCTTGGGGGCAACCCCATAGCAACAAAACGCAATATACTAATATTCATATATGAAAATTATATACTACTTGATCATTAAATTAGAGTAATAATTCACATATCAGACATATTATATTTTATCTAAGTAATAAGCATATGGCAGTTTCTAATTTAATTGCTTTTGGTAAGTTTGAATTTTTCTATTAAGTTGTTTACATTTTGATGCACTCCTCAGCAACAGAGCTATACAACATGGCGGACCAATATGAAGGTATGTGAAAACGATACTCTTTATTTTCGTATCAAAAAGTATTATATGACAATGTCCTCCTTACAAACCATTAATGGCATGAACTTAAGATGTCAGAGCTCTTTTTTACGTAGACAGGTACTGTTTCTAATGCTGTACTGTTCTTAGATATAAAGTTGAACTTGGTTGACACAACGAAATTCTTTTTATGTGCACCATTCATAAATTCCTAAATCGTAAATGTATGCTTAGGTGTTCTTTACTTCTTTAGCACCTACAACCTAAGTGCAAGGAGTGATATATTTTATTACAATAGTTAGAATCGCAAGATATTTTGATTATAAAAGAAGAGAAAATCAGTAGTATAATGTTGTTATTTTCTTTTAATCAAAATCAATTTTGTTACTTGTTAATTGCTCAATAATTTTTGTCTTGTCTCTTCCAAGTATTAAGTTTGTCATGTCTTGTTATGTCAATGAATTATATCATTTTGAGTAGCACTCATTTTTGCGTGTGGAAGAAGAAGCTTTGAAAGGTCTTTCTTCGTTTTTCTCTGTTTTTTGTCAAGTAAATTTAACATCTCAACACAGTGACTGTAGTATCAGACATTTGGTTAAGTGGCACTCCAGTGATTTTTATTAACAGTGAAAAGAAGCATTAAAGTATATCATTATGGAATGTGGCATTCAATGAAGCAAATATGTCTTTGCTAAAGTTAGCAGAAAATTATCTCCAATTTTAAACAAATTACTGGAATACGTTTGATTTTACCTTTAAGCTGATTAAATCCTTTGAATTAAATCTTTCATTTAATAGTGTTTAGTGTTTAAGTGAAAAATTTGTGAGCCACTTGTTGCAAAAACAAAGCATTTTCCCTCAAAATTCCTATCAAAAAGGTGTAATTTTATTTTTGAAGTGAGAAGGAGGCCAGGTTGCATGACTCATATACTCACTGACAGAATCAAAAATCAGTCATAAATAATAGATTAGATAAGTCCACTATAATTTTACTCTTTGCTTTGGCATTGTTTATTAGCAACGATCATTCATTATGCTAAACGGTACAGGAGTGGTTCTTCTTTTATCTTTTCATAGTAAGTTTCTTTATCAGGTAGGAACGGTTTGTTGTATTACTTTTGCCAATGATTGTATTTTTCTTCTTGTTTTGTCTGTGTACTGTTTTACACAATCATGTAATTGTCTACTACATAGGCACATCCTGTTTGTTGCTGTAAATCTGACTGGACAGAAAATCAATAATGTCATGACAGGGTAGACAGTTCTTTTGCAGAAACCATGTACAGGTATATTTAAGATTGCACTAGCATCAAATTAGGGATGTCATCGTTAATAATATGTCCTTAAAATGTTCTTAAAATCATGTTATATTTGGTAAGTACTGTAGGCAGTGAATATTAATTAGACATCTTTCCCCTTAGTTTAGAAAGGTATTACATAGGACATTTTATAATTGTGAGTAATATACACAAACTAAGCCTCAATTTTTCCAAGATATCCAGTAAGTACGGTCCGTTAACATGGTAATAGAAATATATGAGCTTGTTGACTTATCAGTTAAGTGGCTAAAATTTGATATGCATTACCAGTAACAGTACTCTCCAAACATGGTGGAAAATTGTAATTTTGTGGCAAATTTTCTTTGCCATATTATTTTGTTTGAAATAGTACAACACTGTTCTTTGTTTAGTATGCTAGCCATGCACATAATTTTGTAATTGCATGTACTATTTCCAATTTTACGGTATGCTGTGAGTCAGTGGTAACTAATCCCCATGTAATTCCAAATAATTTCCAATATTTTACGGTAGATAGGATACAAGTCACATGTGACTAGTATTCAGAAGCTCCCTCCACTAACAGCTGACTTAGTTGCTATTGGTTGAAACATCATCATTTGCTGGGCACGCATGTTTTTCTTTCTGTTTAAGCTGAAATCTTAAGTTGTTAGACCTATTTCCCACAATTTAGAAAATTACACATGCTATATTGCCACATCCATGTAAAATATGATATTTACAGTAAATGTTTATGAATAATCATAATAACATTTTTTTTTACCTTAGGCATTACGTATTAGTCATGCTATCATTGAAAGGCATTTCCTGTATGGGTTTGCAATTTAATACCCATTGCCGACGGAACTGATCATTGAGCATTTATATAAGCTATTTACCATATGAATACAGCAAAAATCTCCTCTCAAAATAGAATGGTTTCCAAAATGTAACAGGTGGTGCTAGTATACGATGTGTTCAAAGCACCAAGATTACCCCATAAGGCACAAATAGTATGCGAAATGTTGTTAAAATCCAACATCAAGCCCTGACTTACACCAAGGCTAAAACCCTCACCCCTCACAAAATAGGTGACAGCGAATGATTAACAAAATCGTGACTCTATTTACTGTTATAGTAAATAGTGTCACGATTCTGTATTTATTCATCCCTGGTCAGTAACCAACCTATTTGTATGTATAAATTTGCTAGTAGCTGCACTATATACTCTACTAATTGCCCTACATTGTGTGAAGCCACACACACTATGGAAATCATGCAATTAAAAAGCATTGGCATTCAACATAGTATATTTTTAGCACAATTCATATTCAACATAGTGTATTTTTTAGCTTAACGAGTATGTAACGTAAAACCTACCTTTGGTATGACTAGTATTCATATTGGGACCACCTACTAGTATAGCATGTATGGAAATCATCCAATTAAAATAAAAAGCATTGGCATTGAACATACTATATTTTTAGGACAATTGATATTCAAAAATGTGTATATTTTTTAGCTTAACAAGTATGTAACATACAACCTTACCTTCAGTATGACTAGTGTTCATATCTGGACCACCTATACTATAGCATGTATGGTGTGGAAACCATCCAATTAAAATAAAAAGCATTGGCATTCAACATAGTATATTTTTAGCACAATTGATATTCAACATAGTGTGTTTTTTAGCTTAACGAGTAAGGTACATACAACCTACCTTTCGTATGACTACTAGAAGTAGTGTTCATATCGACACCACCTGTTGCAATGGATATGGTGTGGGATATTTGCCCATAGTACATGTATATTTTCAGCGCAATTGATATTCACAATAGTGTATTTTTTTAGCTTATATTTTAGCTTAACGAGTAACATAGTGTATTACATGCAACTTACCTTCCGTATGACTAGTGTTCATATCTGGACCACCTATAGCACTTATGGTGTGAAGTATATTTTTAGCACAATTGATATTCAAAATAGTGTACTTTTTTTAGCTTGGAGAGAATATATGAGTAACATACATACAACCAAGAGATTTTAAACCTCTTTAATACAACTTACCTTCAGTATGACTAGTGCTCATATCGGAACCACCTGTTGCATAGGATATGGTGTGGGATACCTGTCGGCTGACTTGAGGTTCACCTGTGGTTTTGGCTCAGGTGACATGTACCTGTAGGATATTGAGTGTCTAGAGTTGGGTCTGATATTCAAAATAGTGCATTTTATAGCTTCAAGAGAATATACCAAAAACATACCTACCTTCAGTACCTTCTGTGTTCATATCTGTTCCACCTGTTGCATTGAATACCTGTCCGCTGACGTGAGGTTTACCTGTACCTGTGGTTTGGGATCAGGTGACATGTACCTGTACCTGTAGGATCTCAGGTGTTTAGGGTTAGGTACGATGTGAATCACCATGTGGACTGGGTTAATCTTGTTGACATATTTGCATTCGATGACGGAATTGCCCACTTACGGAAGAGGGGGATTTAATAGCTGGAGCATTTAATTTGGTTTCTTTGAAATAAGATACTATCATTACAGCACGTATATTTCACAGTTATACTAAATCGATTTCTGTATATTTTTTTAAATCATAGTAAATGAGTATTAAAATGTGCTTAAAACTGTATTCTAAAATCAGGTAGAAAAATAAATACATGTACAAGTATGAATTATAAAACATGATTATGGCACATAATTTTTTTAATACTTAGGTCTTGATTTTTGTCATACCATGCTTTTTTCAGCATTCATTAGATTTAATATAGAATTTCTGTGGCAATTATGATTGTTATTATCTTCAAAAGGTTTCTGAATAAAAGACAAGCACCTAAAAACAAACATACACTGTAACTGATTAACTCTGAGCATATTTAACTTTTATCAAATACATACATAGTACTACAAATGTAGTCAAACATGTCAATCCAAAATGTTTCTCAATTCAAGTGTGATTTAAATACCAAGTTTTATTCAGTCCACCCCCATGAAGAAGTGGGAGCACCCAACATTGTGGCATGTTAGTATCTAAAGCTGTTGTCCTTACATTCTGTGTAGCCAATGTACCGTGCTATTGTGGAGAGGTCGTATGTAGTTTATATAATAACAAGAGCCGGATCTCTGCCATTGTCAGCCATGCAAAACACATGTTACAGGTGATGCATATGGTGTTGTTGTTGTAGGGTTGTTGACTCAGAATCTGAAGGTTCTGGGTTCAAATCCCAGTGGCAGGCCCCACTGTAACAGTTGTTTCCTTGGAAAAGGCACTTACATGTACATGTAATACCAAATTTCCTCACTTTATAGTGAACATGAGAAACAAAAAGTAAACACATGATATGAACATGCCTGCAGGTATTGAAAATGAAAATATGAACATGCTGCAGCCATACAAAGAAATAGCTAACATGTACATGTACACATTCTCAAAAGCAAGTCAGACTGTAAAAATGAAAACAATAACTGTACAGTTTACTCATCCATAGACAACTTGAAAGAAAGTGTACACCAAATAGAACAGTAAATAATATTCACAGTAAAGGCTGCTTTTGTGATATGGTACAGTTTCATCCATGAACGAAATACAAAGCGAAGATCAGCTTACAGCCTTCTACCTTGAAATTACATCCCTGAAAATAAACAAATTTACAGAATGCCAAGCTCATGTTTTTTCTTCTGTCTTCATTTCCAGCATTCCGTGCTTCGTCCATGGATAATTTGCAGCCCTGTTCAACATGTGGGCGAACTTTTGTTCCTGAAGTTTTAGTAAGTATATTACCATCATTTCTTCCTTTATTTCTGTTTCTACAATGTACTAATTTTACCTAGAACATTTTATTAATTTTGAAATAGTGTTCAAATTTGGCAGAGGCACTACACCCCCAGAAGGGGCATGTGGAGTGAGTAGTGAGTGAGTGAGTGAGTGAGTGAGTGAGTGAGTGAGTGAGTGAGTGAGTGAGTGAGTGAGTGAGTGAGTGCGTGAGTGAGTGAATGAGGTCAAATGTTGGATTTTTTCTGTTCTGAGAAGGATCTGAGTGAGTGAGTGAGTGAGTGAGTGAGTGAGTGGGTGTGTACATGAGTGGGTGAGTGAGTGAGTGAGTGAGTGAGTGAGTGAGTGAGTGAGTGGGTGTGTACATGAGTGGGTGAGTGAGTGAGTGAGTGAGTGAGTGAGTGAGTGAGTGAGTGAGTGAGTGAGTGAGAGATGTCAAAAGTTGGACTTTTTGTTGAAGCCAAGTTCTGAGAAGGCTCTGTTTTCACTCCAACAGGTGAAGCACACCAGAATCTGCCAGAAGAATGCACAGAAGAAGAGGAAAGTGTTTGACTCTGGTCGGATGAGAGCTCAGGGGACAGACATCCCTGTTAACAAGACACAACGGACACAGCCACTAGGCACACAGCCTAAGGTATTAACATACTAGAGTTAGATTTAATGCATTAAATTTACTCCAAGACTGCATCTAAAAGCATACACATTTTGAGCAGTTATCACCGCTGGGCATACAGCCATAGTGTTCTAGCCAGGCCTTTTTAGCATAGGGGCCGCCTATATGCTATGATTTTATGATTTTGACCCCCTATGTTATAATTTTGACCCCTATGCTGTCTTTCAACCAGCATAGGGGAGGGAGAACCTCCATAAAATTTGCAAATATGAAAATGAAGCTATAGCAAAGGGAAAGCCTTAACTTCACAAAATCTGTTCCTCATTAAAGTTTTAAACAAGAAATAGTGTCTCATTGGGTTGAGTTTCAAAATATTTCAGCTCAATGCGTGATTTGTGCCACAAAAGTTGCTCTGCTGTACCTGACCCCTATACTATGAAAAAATCCTGGTGAGAACCCTGACCATGATCCTGTTTTCTACCAGACGACCCCGACAAACTCAAAGCAGTCCAAGTGGAGGCAGCAGCATGAAGACTTCATCCGCAGCATCCGCGCTGCCAAGGAGACAGACGTCGCAATCAAGACAGGGAAACCGCTGCCACCGCCCCCTCCTCCTGCTATTAACCCTGGTTAGTAGTACATATATCTTATATATATAATATCTATCTATCTAATAAAAGTATCTATTTGACTATCCATCCATCCATCCATCCATCCATCCATCTCTCTCTCTCTCTCTCTCTCTATTAGATAGATAATACATGTATATTATTACATATGATAGATGGATAGATGACCTGGACCAGATTGCTGTCACCATGGTAACTGGTGCAGTAGCAGTCACCCTGTGGTGTTGGGTTACATTATGTAGCAAGTGGCAGGGCAGAGTTGGAGGGACTGAATAATCAACCATGGTCAACACATTTTAGGACACCATTGATGCTTATTTACTTTTTAATTGGTGGTGTTAAAGAAATCTTTTACCATCCTACAATGTATTACTGACCTGATGACACAGTTTGCATGCTCCCAGAGCAAATTTTGTAACCTCTGTATTGTAGACTACGTCCAGTGCCCGCACTGTGAGAAGAGATTTAATGAGACAGCTGCAGAGAGACATATTCCCTGGTGTGCAGAGCAGACCAAGAGAATACCTAACAAGAAAAACCAAGATGCAAAATCAAGGATGAATGCAAGAACACAGGTATGAGAAGCCCTCTAATTTATCATACAATCATACACTTAATTCTACATGTACAGCTATAATAATACGCCCCACCAATTTAATTCCCTTACTACTACTAACTACTACCGTCTGGTTTATCTTCTGTTGTTCCCCATCTTCCGAGGGTTAGACGTGCTTGCACTGCAATACTGAGGCTTGATGGCAGCCCGCCACTAATGCCTCTGTTCTGTGGGTTGACGTTTAAGTTCAAGTGGTGGAAGTCCTCCCTTATGTTGTCAAATCATTTCTTCTTTGGTCGACCACAAGGGTTTGGACCTTCCACATCCAGTATGAGGATCTTATTGTTGGAATCTGTCAGACTGAGTATATACAGGAAGGAATGTCTTCTTTTTTTTGTTTGATTCTCTGGAAATAATATTTCATTTTCCTGAATGGTAGACATGATAATGTTTGGAATTGTTACAGACTAAATTTTTTTTCTTTTCAAATCACAATTAATACAAAATGAATAATTAACAATACTAGCTATAGTACAAAGGATTTGATGAACAAACTTTCTGTGCTTGTTTCCCTACAGTACCGTGCCCCCCTCCCTGGGAAGAAAAAAGCAGCAGCCAATTCGACATCACGGATGACATCCACTGCCAACAGTGCCCAGAGCAGGGGAGTGTCCAGTGGGTACGGTGCACAGAATGGGGCAAGGAGAATGCCAGGTACATTGTACATTCCGTATCTGTATCAGTAAAGCCGGTATAAGCACCTTCGGCGTAACACACCAGCTTCTGTATCTGTATAGCCGGAATAACCGCCCTTCGGCATAACACACCACCTTCTGTATTTATATAGCCGGTATAACCACCCTTGGGCATAGCACACCTGCTTTGCAGGCACACAGCATGGTGGCAGCTAGCTACATTACACCGAACAAACTTCCTTTGAACATCTAACTTCTATGATCCCATTATGATCCCTATTATCCCATTGTTTCCAGGTGCCACCTCCTTGTCCAATGGCAGCTCAGCAGCCACAGCCAGATCTGCAGCAAACAGAGGGCCTGCGGCTGGAGGAAAAGGAAGGTACGTATTGTATCTAGAACCCTGCCCTGGTAACCAGACCGCAGTGAGCTCAGCGTTATCCCTTCGGCGCCGAGAGCGTTTTGGGCCGCTAACCCGGCCTCAAGTACCGCGCTTGGGGGGGGGGCTTAGGTTTCTTCGGTCTGCGGCAAAAGAAGACTAAGCGTAATACAGGAAGTCAGTGGATACAGGGAAACCAGCTGGAGAGAGGTCCATGGTATAACTCGCCTGTGCTTGGTAAAGGCGGGGCTGAAAAATTACCGCCAAGCCGACCAAAGGTTTGGTACCCAGGCTACCAGAACCCTACCTATCTAACAGAAAAAATTCATCAGGTAGGTAGAGAAGTGCTGGTTGTTAAAGAAATCCTAATATTCTGTTCCTATCTATTTATTCACTTTCATGCCTGAATGGTTAGTCCAATTTTAGTAGAATTGAACCTAGAAAATAGAAAATTTAGTATCTTGAAAGTCATTTTGAAGCAGTTTTTCAAACTGTACTTTCCAACACAAAGGATTTGACTCACCCAAACTTTCGATCATTGTGCAACTCCACTCTTTGTCAAGGAATTTGGGTCCAAATGTCAAGTCCAATCCTTTGTGTGTAAACTGCTTCATAGAAAATTTATTGTTCTAACCTTAAATTCATGGTTATCCACAGATCACAGTATGGGTACCAGAACTATGACAATGACAGTGACAATGATGACAGCTATGACAGGAGAGAATCAAGTCCCTTGGACCACGGGCGTGGCGTCATGCTCAGGACAGGCCGGGTCAACAACTCACCCCCTGTGCGACAGGCCAATCAGAGACCTGCTAACAGATCATCACCAGCCAATGCTGCCAGAAGGTATTGTGTGCTTGATTCTGATTGGTTAGCCCAGAAGGTGTCATGATATTTGATGATAGCAATACATTTTGACATACTAGTAACTGTATCATTTACTGTATAACTGGTATATCTGCCCTTCGGCATAACACACCAGCTTTGCTGCGCTGGTTGTAGTGCCTGGGCATACATGTACATGTAGCTGCTCAAAACAGAAGCATCTCGAGTTAGTCTCAACATTTGAAGCTGGGAGAGAAACTACTGCCGAGGCAAAAAGAAGAGCCAAGAAATGAATGTATGAATGAAAGAAGGAAGGAAGGAATGAAGGAAGGAATGAACGATCGAATGAATCTTGCCAACAAAAGAACTGACTGAGAACCAGTAGATGCAGAGTGGCTGTGAACACAATACTTCAAGCAAAAAAAAGTTTTGGGCCCCCTCAATCCTTACTTGATAATGTATTTAATTCCAAGTGTATACATGTATTGGTTCTGCCCACAGAGGCAACAGTGGGTTGATGGGTGGGATGAACTCTCGTACACCGACTCCGCCGTCGGTCAACCGCGGGCGCCCCCCCTCCGGTCCGTCTTCTGCGACACGGAGAAAGAATCCTGCAGCCAACCACATGTCTGCAAACTCTAGGTGAGAACTTTGCAATAAGGTAAAAGGTAAAACAGTCAACTGAGGTGATGAGGTGATGCTTGTAGTGCACAAATATGCTGCTTTGCTGCACACACTAGTTTGGGGGTCTTCAGAGGATGCCATTTATAAAATCAAGTCAGTGTGACCATACTGTCATTTTGCCAAGTAGTACTTAAGATATGCAACCTGTTATCCACCTTAAACAAATTCACGTGAAGGCCACTGTGTCAAGCCTCCTCACTCAGGTGTAGGGACTGGCACAGCTACATGTGTATCATGCTTGGAAAATCTGTATCTGTATATCTGTACATGAATATGTACTTGAATATGTATCTGTACATGAATCTGTATCTTAATGCAAATACAGACTTCAAGTGATTGCCATAGACGTAATGCCAGCTTATTGAATCTCAAATTTAAACCATCCTGTTGCAGATATGATGACTATGATGAGTATGACTACCAGTCTACAGGAGATCTGCCGGAGAGACTGACACAGGCCATGCGGCTGGGAAGCACAGAAAACATCGCTGGGAAGACGGCTTCCAAGTTTTGTCATGAGTGTGGGACACGATATCCGGTCCCAAACGCTAAATTCTGCTGCGAATGTGGAACTCGTAGGATATGGCTGATGTAAATGAAAGAAATGTAATGCAAATCTAATGTAAAGGAAAGAAACATTCCAATATAATGATTAAAAGTACAATGTAGAGTAAAAAAGAAGACCACCTAGGGGACTGATAGAATCCGGTCTATGACAACATCCAAGTTTTGCCACGAGTGCGGGACACGATATCCGGTCCCTAACGCCAAGTTTTGCTGTGAATGTGGAACACGTAGGATATGGCTAATGTAAAGATAAAATTCAAATATAAAGATTAAAGGTAGAGTCAAAACTCCCCAAAAAGGCCACCTAGGGGACCAACAAAATCTGGTTCTGCCACGAGTGCGAGACACGATTCTTAATTTCTAAATTCTGCTGCAAATGTGGAACGCAAAGGATATGGCTAATGTAAAGAAACGTTCCAAGAATATAGCGATTAAAAGTATAAACTTCCAAGAAGACCACGGGACCAAAAAAATCTAGTCTATGTGGACAGGTGGTTTTAATGCTTGTATCAATGGAAATGATCTTCTAAGAGCCCAGCAAAAAGTGGTCACAATGGCTAGGAGGTCCTGATGTAGAGGTGGTCACTTGTACAGGTTAGACTGTAGTCGCTTATATAGGGACTAAGAATTTTAAAAGTTTTAACTAAAAAGACCAATAAATAAGACAACAATGCTTCTCATAGGGACACATCCACATTTGAGATACACAAGTACTGGGTTGAAAGAGCTCATATTAGAATTAGGATTACTATAGGATGTTGGTCAGAATGATCCTTGTATTAGGTCACAGATAGATTTTCACAGCATGTAATTTCATGTATAGAAATACATACATGACATTCCAATGTTTAAACTAGAAATGCAAATGATTTATCTATAAAGCATTCCATACACGCTGTACAATGATATACTATGCAGCTAAGCCTAGCTTACAACAGTGCAATTCTTGTGCTTACACATTCCAGATATTTTGACTCTAACACATCTATATTTTGTAGCACCATGTCTATTACATGTACAATGTAGCATCTGTAAATAAATAAATAAAAAAGCAACATGTTCATCTAACATTTAGCTGGAAGATATGATTTTGTTAATTGATGATGTTAATTGATTTATTTGAACATAATGCTTATTATACATGTATAGTTTTCATCATTAAAAAACATTTGTGTGTAAAATTGTGCTCTTAAGCAAGAATGTGTCATTATTTTTTCAATCTGTTTCACATGGAATTAGCTTGATACTCAGGCAACGGCTGAGATTAAAACTTGTTGAAGAGAAGAAAATGTTTTGTAATTAATTCTTTTGTGCAGTTGAAAGACAGCGTTCTAGGGATGTGCTCAAAGGTAAAAAAAAAGTAATCATAATATTATAATTATTGAAAACGTACTTCAGCCAAAATAAGTAAAGGGACAATCAGTGTTTATTAATGGCTTCCTCTACTTAGTTTAGCATGAGGAAACGGTTCTCAGTGGATGAATAAAGATTCTGAAGAATCTGATATATACTTATTCCCACCATTGAGGCTAAATTTACAGCAATGTTGACGTAAGTATATTTATAACCAAAGTAACTTACTTCTTCCTGGCGCCATTATTGCATAAAGAAAGATCACTTGGCAACAAGCCAACAGGCACCGTTACTTGACTGGAAACAACATAAACATTACAAGATTATTTTCAACGTGATTGCAGGTGTGTGAAAGATCTTTTGGAGTCTTTATTTGACGAATTAGGGTCCCGTTCGACTCGTGTAAGTCATTAATAAGCACACTATTTGCCACCAAGACCTGAAGAAATGCATTATGTTTACCCTACGTCCATTAAGGTTACAGGTGGGGGTGGTCTTACATGACTAACTGACCAAAGAAATGTCAATCAAAAGATCCTTGTCATGGTGAGCTTTGCGTCATGTCTACATACACAATTAGTTACCAAAGCCACAGCCTAAGGTAACGCCCACTGCTGCCATCCAGACTCGCACAGAAACAGCCAGAAGCTTGCTTGTGCGACCTTTGCGACTCTCTAACGTTGGCGTCTTGCATCTGAGTGTTTCTCGCCTAGACCGTCATCAACAGAACGATGGCCGATTCTAAGATGAGGTACTGCCGACTTTGCAACGGACCCTGTGAAGGCCGAAGTATTTGCCTGCAGACCCCTGACCGGGTTAGTGTTACAAATATTTTTTTAATTTTTTTTTGTCAGGAAATTTAGAGCATGTCTGGTTGTGACGACGTGCCTTAAAAGTGGGATTGGGCGATGGTAAGAACTCTTCCCTCTGAAACAATTTCACACGGATCCGTTTTTCTCTGTTCGGTGTTAAAAAGACATTGCAGAAGTGCAAAACTAGTTTACAAGACTAAACTGGAAAACAAACTTGTCTGGTTGTAATGATGGCCCACACAAGTGAAACTTGGTCCTATAAAGCTCTCGTCTTGAACTTTTCCACATATCCCTATTCTATTCAGCCAGATCCATGATAAGCCTGGCCCAGAGTTTATAGCTATAACCAGCGTGCATGGATCAGGGCCTAACTTTAGGGGACTGTGGTATAATTTCCTTGGGGGCATGTTGGTCCTGGAGCTGAGGAACTGGTCTGTGTAGGCATTGGAAACAGTCTGGTATCCAGGCTCATTTCTATTACGATTGGTGTTCTAAGTTTACCAGTCAGACATGGGCGGCAGGAAGACAAGTTGGAAAATTTTACTTCATTGCCCTGTCGTCTGAGATGACTTTTGGATCCCCTATCTCTATACGATTTTTCCATGAATAAAAACTAACTAACTGTATAAGAGCGAAACCATGTGGTTATCTTTATACCAAAAGCGGTACGAAATTTACGCGCGTAAATCTATTGTTATGATTATCTAAAATTCCTTTCCTTCTTTTCACTAAGTCCTCACAGGTGCTTTAGAGTGTTTGTTTTGCAAGCAACTACACCACAGTCTTTGTTATAAGTGCAGTCATGGCGGTAAATAGATACCCCCACCTTTGTGTTCAGAGTTTGTTCTGTCAGGTGCATTTATAAATAACTTGGTATCGGGTTCCTTGTATGAAGGCCTTTCATTGTTTTACCTAGCTGAGGTGAGATCGACTTTCACACAAGTCGATTGTCAAGTGTGTTTACCTTCGTGGTATTGGTGGTTACTGAGAAGGCACTGGCCTCGGGCTGCCTTTACCTGGCTGAAAAAAGGGCACAACGATTACGTTAGATGTGTGCTGTAAATCAAATAATAAGGCCATTTCGAAATTTTGAGCGGGCTGCCTGACACAAAAGATCACACACAGAGGCTTATGGTCTTACTATTGCGAACATTCTACGTTTTACTCATAGGAAATTCAAACTCTAGTACTGGATACATTACGGAGATAATATCCGGACATTTCGAGTGACATCCACCACTCTTCTTCAGCGTCACTAACAAACTAACAGAACTCGATAAAGCATATATGAGCAACTGGAAAAACCGGTTGAACATAACAAAGGTCCATAAGGTCATTAATATCATCTTCGTAATTTATCCAGTACTAGAGTTTGAATTTCCTATGAGTATTGTTTACCTATATGCCTAACCTTCATCAACGTTTTCTACGTTTTACTAACAGTTCAATCTGCCATCATTATCTTTATGGTAACAATTTTTTCTTTGCTTTTAGTTCAAACCGTCAGCTAATATGATCAAGACGGCACTGGTGAAGCAAGGTGCTTTCAAAAGCCATGCATTCCTACACTACCTACAGTTTCATCAGCCGTCAGCCATTTGGTCAGATTCCGACATTTCATCAGACATGCCGGATCCGGAGTTTTCCGTCATCTACCCAGCCGATGGCGGCTGCGAAGTGTCAGTGAGGCTGAAATGGATGCACTTTCTCCCCGAATACCGCGATCCCCGGTCACCGGAGCGCAGGGAGCTCGAGAAAGCTGCCCGGGAGGAGATCATCAGGTCTTTAAGCTTGCCAAGGAGTAGGGTGAGGGATGGGGATATTGAAGTTGTCATAAGGGAGGGAACAGTAGGGTTCCTTTTCATATTTATCGACAAAATCATCGAGCTTGCCGGAAAACAAATGGATGCTCTGGTTACCGCCGGTGGAGATGCAGAGATTCAGGCCCGTAATATTAGGAAGGTGGGGTTTGCGGCAGCTTCGGCGATTTTCGGAGCTGCTGTCGGAGCAGGTGTAAATCTCATGGCGATGGGTGTAGGTGGAGCGATTGGCTATGTTGTGGGGACAGTGTTTGCTGATAAGTATTTGACGTAAACCACTGCAATATCGCAAACGGCCTCAGCTAGCTCTCACTGTAAAGGGAATGAAACAAGATGTGTACAATTGCTATTGGTGACATAGGTGTACGTGTATTAGTGCAAGACTAGGTGTAAGTAATTGATATATGCTACTTACTATATATATATATATATATATATAGTGTCTAATTGTTATTCTTTGAAAAAGACGCTTTTGCCACTGATGAATTATGAAATATCATGTTCAATGCACGTGTGGCTTGTGTGATATGCCTTGCGTATGATTTCCAAATACATACACTATTGAAGATGTTTCTGTCAACTATATATATGCAAGTTACAACAGTAATTCTAATATTTCTGAAATGGTTATTGTATTATTGCCATTGATTTTGTGTGTTGTGTCAATACGACAAAATAATCTGATCCACCTGTCTCATGTTGTTCTTGTTTGCTGTGAGTTAAAAGTACATCGCTGTACTTCTTGGCACTAGTTACACCAGGTACCTCCCCATTTCCATCCAAAATTTTAAAAGTAAAACTAGGCCTCTACTGTAGTTCACATTAAATAGATTTCTTTTTTGACGGCAAACGTAATTGAAGTGAGAGGGAAGGTTGGTTCGATGAATCCTTCATCAATCAATGAACGGGCTATGCCATAGCATTGCAGACATGCTGGCATGTCGCTAGATGTCGTTGTTGGTGACATTGCAAACCACTGCCTACTTTCCATTGTTGTATACTAAGTTTGTACCTGCTGTGGCACAACATTCCAGATGGGCCAGTAATAGTGCCTGGTACATGTTTTGTAGCACTTCCTTTGTAACAAATAAAGGGTCTAGCACGTCCCATGGTTCCAATGTGCTTCCCACTTGGGTGATGGGTCGAGAATAATGCCCAGGTAAGTGAACGAATCGATACGTTCACACCGTCTGCATGTTATGTTGACGGATGAATGACATCATATAGGCGAGATGACGCTATACAAGACAACAGATGAAATGTCGATCAAAACGGCCGTTGTTATGGTGATCTTTGTGCCACGCATGCCTAGTAGACAACTGATCCACTGCGCATAGAGCCAACGCCCAAATCCCCCAAGACTGTTCCAGACCATTTCCCCCTCAACACCTTGGCACCTTGCATCTGAGTGATTCTCACCGAGACCATCATCAACAGAACCATGGCCGACTCTAAGTTGAGGTACTGCCGACTTTGCAACGGACCCTGTGACGGCTGCAGCACTTGCCTGCGGAACTCTGATCGGGTAAGTGTTACAGAAAATTTGATCTTTGTCTGATTGCTAAAGTGAAACTGGTTCCAAGTAAGAATCCCTGCCTTCCGAACTCTTCCACCTATTCGTATATCTCTGTTTGGATATTGAAGAAATAGGAGACGAGCTAAAAGTAAATTGGGATATTGGAAAATCTTCAGTTGGTGACGACATCCCACAAGAGTCAAACCAGGCCTTATAGCTATATAGTAAGAACTCCAACTTCTGAACCTATCCCGGGGAAGCGTATTTCCATGCATGGTCTGTGGCTGAAACAAATTGCCTCATTAGAATACGGACAGAAACAAAAATTCAGAAGAAGCTCAAATCAGCAAGCAATAGGGAGGGGTACATACGATTATGAACAAAATGGCTCCGAAATTGCCACGAAAAGATTCGAGATCCGGGACTTCTCACGAAAGCTTGTTGTTCATAATACAGCGTATTGCGCAACATGTGTTGCCCAAAATGATCGCACTGGTAACTGTGGACGAAAAAAACACCATCGCTACAGGTGGCGGTGGAAGCTGTTTTGTGACACTTTGTTTTGCGCATAAACCAACCTTCGTGGTACATGTATCTATTATTTCTGCACAGCTGAGACTAAGTGCGTCACACAATTAATGCGATTTTGCGAATGGATGTGTGGCTTCAATTACAAGTGTGACAGAGGCGTCTTTCGTTTTCCTTTTCTATCGTGGAATCACGTCTGTGCATTGCCCATATATCGACGATTTTTTGTTTGTTTTCAGTTCAACCCGTCCACTAATACGATCTCCACTAATACGATCAAGACGGCCTTGGAGAAGAAGGGCGCTTTCACCAGCTCCGAGTTCCAAACCATTTCATCGGACCCGCCGGAGATCTCCGTCCGCGATGGCGACAGGGGTACCAAGGTGGATGTGAGGCTGAAATCTATGCGCTTCATCCCCGAGTACCGTGATCCCTCATCACCACAGCGCAAGAGGCTCGAGAAAGCTGCCAGGGACGAGATCATCAGGTCCTTTAGTTTGCCAAGGGGTAGGGTGAGGGATACTGATATTGAAGTTGACATAAGGGAGGGATCAGTACAGATCCTCATAGTATTGAATGCCTCAATTATCGCCATTGCCGCTATTACAATTGGTGGCTTGTGTTATGCCGACGCTACAGAAAAAGAGGCAACAAAACAGGAATTGAAAACTGACCAGGATGACCTGGATGACCCGCCGTATTATAAATGCAGATACAATACAATACATGTACAATATGAGAGGCCAGTTCCAGTTGTTCGCTATGCCCCCTCTAATAGTAACACGGCACAGGATATAAAAACCGTGGGGTCAGGGGCAACTGGGGCGGTTATGGGAGCCACCGCTGGTTCGGTGCTTGGCCCAGTGGGAATGGGCATAGGAGCCGCAATTGGCTTCGTTGGTGGGGCACTTTTTGGAAAGCATGGTCTTTAATAACTCTGTGTATTGCACAACGTAATCTCCATTGAAAATTAATTTTACTTCAAAGAGGGAGATTATTAGGCTCTCTGCATCTGATTTTAGCCAATGAAAGTATTGGAATTCAACTGGTACCTCCGATGGAATCATTATGCTTAATAGCCAGGAGGAATTTAAAATGTGATATATCAGACTTAGTCTTCTTTTTTTTTTAATTGAAGTTCTATGGTAAAGCTATGGACTGGCATGTTTACCTACTATGTAGCACTGATCCAATGGAACATGTACCAATGCAGTAACATGTTGTGTGCGCACTGCTTAGCTGTGTTTGAATTTGCAGTATCATGGACATAATCAGTTTGGGGTTTGAGGTTATGTATTATTCAGATTATATACACATAGAGTTGGTTTTATTGTTATGAATCTACTTCCTTGCATTTAATTCAGCACAGTCAACCGTTGTTCTCCATAGTAATTGATTTAGTTGATTGATTTTGATTTGTACACCAGCTCATTATATAGCTTTGTCCTTTCTTATTATAATCACTATTATTACTTTGTTTTATTGTTTCCTTTTATGTGTGAGGAGAGGGCTGACATAAGTTTCATAACTTTTTGCCCAATCCTCGAAAAATAAATTCGAATAGAATAATAATTGATATTTAATTTAAATGTACAATTGCTGTATGTGATATACATGGGATGCGGTGTAAGTAATTGGTATAAACTACTTAGTGTGTAATTGTTAATTATGCTTTTGCCATTTATGAATTATGTGTGTGTGTGTGTGTGTGTGTGTGTGTGTGTGTGTGTGTGTGTTCAATGCTTGTAGCTTGCGTCTGATTTCCAAATACGTGTACTATTGAGCATGCTTCTGTGAACTATCAAGTTATAACAGTAAGTCATATTTCCTGAAATGGTTGATGTACTATTGCCATTGTTTTCTGTGTGTTCTGTCAATACAAAAAAAATTAGTTGATCCATGTTGCACTTGTTTGCTGTGTACTCCTTGGTACTAGTTACACTAGGTACCTCCCTATTTCCATACAGAATTAACAAAGTAGATTAAAAGAAGCCTCTATACTGTAGTTCACAAATACTAATTGATAAACATTTTACCTGGTTTAGTCCAGTACTGTAGTTTTTGGTAAATTTTCAGCAGGTCAAAATTCTGAGTCAAAACACTTTTTTACACCCTTATGAGTTTTGTCAGCCATCTTGTGCCAAAGGTCAATGGTGGTTTTATGGCGAGAATTGGTCTAATATATTAAGATGAATACGTGTGTCAACATGAATACGTGCTGTACGTGACTACATAGGTAGATCAAGTGTGATCGTACAAAATAGAAGTCAAAGTAATTTAGAGAAGTCTTTCTAATTACTACCATTGTTTAATTTTGTCTCGTTTTGTCTGTGAATCGTATTTTTGCAATAGGAACATGTTACACTTACATTGCGGGTTTTAGTTGTTATGTGTGATAGGTACATGTATATCTATTATGGGCAAAATCACATCTTGAGACTAATATACCTCCCAAGGGAGAACTCCGCTAACTTCTTTATGTTCATGGTAGGTATGCCTAGCTGAAGTATGGCATCATGATCACAGGCCTTACATTACCTGTACAAGCGATGTTGACTCCCATTGGTTATACAAAATCACCCCATCCCTTACCAACAAAGGAGATATCGATCAAAACGGTCGTTGTCATGGCGAGCTTTTAGCTGCGTCATTTTCCCGAGGCAGAGGGGCTTCCCCGGCTTAATACAGCAATACGTAATCACTATTACGCCGGGGAAGCCCCTCTCAGGCCTTGAGAGAATGAGCTACGCATATGCCTACACAACGCCCAAAGTCATCCAGACTGTTTCACAAACAGCCAGGAGCTGAGCGACGTCTGCTTTTCTCCTTGACTTTGGCACCTTTCTTCTGAGTGTTTCTCGCCCAGACCATCATCAACAGAACCATGGCCGACTCTAGGATGAGGTACTGCCGACTTTGCCATGGACCCTGTGACGACTGTGAGGTCTGCCTGCGGAACCCTGATCGAGTAGGTGTTCTTAAAATGTTTTGTCAGAAAAGTAATATTTTATATGGGTGTGACGACGTCCCGCAACCGTGCAACTTGGTCATAGCAAGAAGTATATTTTTTTTAGCAATTCCACGGATTTGTATTTATATGCATGGCTGACGTAAAGAGTAAAGAGACTATTGCCTACGCCCCGTCTGTTGTTTTCTCGATGCTTCTACAGCAGCGAACTGGGCAAACTATTATGTACTGCTTGAAACAAATTAAGAAGGTTTGCTTATATCCTACCAAGCACGTGATTAAGTTAAATACGGGTTGATGATGATGTCTGGCATATTGCTGCCATTGAAAATGTGTGCTTCAGAATTTCGTAAAATCATGGAGTACCGTATGGATTACGAAAGAAAGAGAGGTAACTGCCAACGCCTTACAAAGAATGAAACAACCAATTACGCTTTACGGCTAATGTACTAATTACGAATTACGTTGATTCTTGTGACAGCCTACAGACCTAAAAGCCATGATTACACCATATAATTACGGAAAAGGGCACGCAGGCGCTCAATAAATAATGCAAACGCCGGTGGCTACATTGCCAAAGTTCCTTGTATATACAGATGATAAATTGTACCGAGAATGCGTCAGTAACAAAAACGAAAATGAAAACGAAACTATTTTGCTTTAGAAAGACTCCTGTATCAAAATACAGTATCTGAGATAACAGATGTAGCTTAGTATTTTGATATTAATTTGTAAGACAAGACGGCCTTAAATCACATTTTATGGTATTATATATGCCATACTCTTACCATATGCAATGAGAACATTTACGGGTTACAGCAAGCTGTCCCTCTGACGATGACAATGTTTTTCTCTTTCCAATTACCAACCATCGTGGTATTTATTGTTTCTGCCCGGCAGAGTGTGGCGCAGAAGTGTCAAAGACGCGTCTGCCCTTACGTTTACCATCGAGATATCCTCCCAGTGTACTGCCCATATATATAATACATCGATGATTTCCCTTGTTTTCAGTTCAAGCCGTCAACTGATATGATCAAGATAGCACTGGAGAAAAAAGGGGCATTTACTAGTTCCACATTCTGCACAACTTCGTCGGACCCCCCGGAGATTTTGGTCAGCGACGGTGAAAATGGCGGCACCAAGGTGGACGTGAGGCTGAAATCCATGCTCTTCATCTCCGAGTACCGTAATCCCAAGTCACTGAAGCACAGGGAGCTCGCGGAAGCTGCCAGGGAGGAGATCATCAGGTCCTTTGACTTGCCAAGGGATAGGGTGGGCGATGGGGATATTGAAATCGACATAAGGGAGGGATCAATAAAGATCCTTATGGTATTGAATGCCTCAATCATAACCATTGCTGCTGTTACAATTGCTGGCTTGTGTAGTGTTGACAGAGCTGGAGGTGCAAGGGCACCTGGCGCAAATGTGTCAGAGAATGGAATGCCAGTTGGCCCCCCTGGTATGCTTGCTCGTGAACTTTTTGATGGCGTAAGGGAGGATATTGCACGTAAAGTTAAACAAGCGGGATCAGCGGCGGGTGGGGCGGTTCTCGGAGCTACCGCTGGTGCACCTGCAGGTCCTGTAGGGATGGCCGTAGGCGGCGCAGTTGGTGGAATAGTTGGGGGGTTGTTTGGCTAAGCAACTGTTTGTTTACACATATCTCAAATTTGCTAAAAAGTGAATCCTGAACTTTTACCACCTACGACAGGCGAACTCTTAACGCTCAATAAGATACGCAATGAACTCTGAGAAGTTAAAAACTATTAAATGCAGGACCAACAGATATACATGTAAGAATTCTCCAGTACCATATCTAGTCCACTTAATTACTGAATGTACAGTCCAGTTAGTTGTAGTTTCAGATAATCTCACCTTTCTACAGAGCCTTGGTGAAATATCTTTCGCACAATTACAAAAACTTATATCATAAAGACACTCACGTGACTGTAATTTTCAATATTTATCACCATTTTGTGTAACTGTAAATACTTTTGACATGCTGTGCAGTTGTTCCAAATTTCTGACATTCGTTGGCGAATCATAGCAGGCCACTAAGTCAACAAATCTGTGTTTTTTAAGCGTATGTAGAGTGCTATGGTTTCGCATCTCCACTTCCTGGATGGTGTTGATCTACAGTGTGGTAGTGTTGATTCAATTCGTTTTGTAATGTAGTATCAGGAGGGTTGACTTTTTGTATCGTCCTGGAGGTACATTGTACAGATTAAGTCAATCTGTGATTTATGTAAATGTGATTTTGATGTTCTACAATATTTCTCTTTTAAAGGCATTATGTGTGTTGTTGATTATTGCACTATTGTAAATAGTACGTAATTCAGCCTATGTATTCAGCTTGTGGCTGCAATGTACTTTAAAAAACATTCATTCATTCAAGGATTTATTAAGTTCCTAGTTTCAGAATCGGAGAAAAAAGAAAGGAAAAAGAAGACAAGCGTTGACACCTCAGTCATAATAGAACATTCGTTGTTCCTCCGTTGTTGTGGATGATGCTGATGATATATTGCATTCCGTAGCCCGTATTTTAAGCTGAATCTAATTGGCTGACTTAAAAAGGAATTGTAATTGCCATTGGTGAATCTTATGGATGTGGCCTGTGTCAATTATTCTGTCAACTTTTAAGTTCAGGTAATAACAGAAATGAGATGCACTGTGTATTTCCAAAATGGTCCGTATTACTGCCATTGTGTGCTGTGTCAATACAAAAATCATTTGATTTGATTCACCTGTCTCGTGCTTGTTGCACCTGTTTGCTGCGGCTTAAAAGTACATAACTGTACTTCTTGGTACTAGTTACACCAGGTACCTCCCTATTTCAATCCAGAATTAACAAAGTAAGCCTCTACTGTAGTTCACAAATACAAAGAGATATCTTTTACCTGCATTTATTGAATTAGTCCAGTTCTGTATTATACTTAAATCTTTAGTAGGTCAAATTTCTAACAGAAGTATGCCCAAATGCGATTTCTTTGTCAGCCATCTTTTTTTGCAAAGGTCAAAATTGTCATGAATGTTAATCTGATTTGGCGAATTAATGAAAATCAAACTAATCTCAGATTTAAACAGTATCCAATGCCCTTGGGGAGGCTTAATGGTTACAGGGGGCCAAAATTACAGGGGACTCCGTTAAGTGGAACGTGGTCTAAACCGGTTGAGCAACTGCCATGAGTCATGTTTGGGGGATCAACTGTAATGCGCTGCAGGCACGAGAGGTAAAAGGTCATCTGACTATACCTTTACTATATGTAGAAAAACGCAAACACAACAAATAACTGTTTAACTAGGATAGTCATGATGGTTTGTGATTACGTCCTTTGTTTTGAGCAAAGGATCCTTGTAAGCACATTATGTGATTTCTGTCCAATGCTCTTAAATCTATGTAAATAAAATAATACGATAAAATTAACTAGCAATGTCACAAAAAATATTTCAGCTGGCTTTCCAGAAAGGACGAAAAAGACTTGGCAACTAAAAATAGTTTTGGTCAGAGTAAAAAATGATCCCTCGTTCCTTAAAGTTGTGTTTCGCATCTTTTAGAGTGCGGAAGATTTGCAAGGGGCGGTAGCATGAAATGAGATAATCATGGGTTATGCCATTGTTAATTATAATTAAGACGTTTGTCCGAATTCCTTCCTTTGTTGACAGAAGGAAATAGCGATTCCCCTCAAGCGATAACCTAAATATGTCAACTTTGAAAGCTTACAGAAACAAAGAAGACGTATAAATAGAACAAAAAGACCAAAAATGTGTGTCTCAAAAGGAATAAGCTTGGCAGATTAGTGGGAGAGTTACTATCTTAAACGTTTTTTTTTTCAAAGTCAGCAATGTTTGTATAGCGTAACCTAAGGACTCTATTTATCATTTTAGATCAAGACATTAACCTACCTATAAAGATCACCCCCTTACCACAATGGTTTCTCCCTGCAACCCCAATTTTCCACATGACAGTTACTTACTATGAGAAGACGCCCATCCGCCATAGAGAGTGGGCCTACATGTTATCCAGTCTTCATGTTCGGCATTTCCACACCACCTTAGCCGCTACCTAGGCCTGTGGATAGAACTTAGCCATGGAGAGATATTACAACCACGGAGGTAGGTCTAAACTTATCAACTTTATTATACAAATGTTACAGATCTATTTATTTATTAATATATCGGTTTTACTATACAAGACATGCAGTCAGGTCAGCCTACCTAGTTGAAGGCTTGGCTTGTTGACAAAGACAATGCAGTCTAAGACAAAGACAATCTACAATCTACAGGGTTTCAAATCAAACGTTCACCGCCATTTCTTGACATACATGTAGCCATATTTCTCTCATATTTCTAGTTCAATGCCGAGAAGTGGTCGTATAGGTCTTGTATTGAACCACTCCGTTAAAATAAAAGACTTGGGATTCAACTTAAACCTTTAGAATATGTTACTGTTTATCTTACGATGCACAGTCGTTTCTATAGTCATCTTTGAATTCTTAGGGGGTCTTCCAAAGAAACAGGTATCTGTGTCCCTCATATGAAGCCATGCTGATGACCTTGATAGATATGGTGTGATTGTCAGTCATTGTAATAAGACGTTATAGAATAATGTTCTTTGTAGTATGGTATACACCTTATTGAAGAAGAAGGAAGAGACATGTAAACGATAGATTTATTTCTTAGCATAATCTTGTATTTTTTTACTGTTTGTGAACGATAGTGTACCATAGCATACCTCTAGTTGTTTTGTTTTGTTCCTCTGACTGTTGAGGTAGGCTACAAGTTAGTATTGATTCTTTACGTAAATATTCCATGTGTAACTATACTGCATTCAGCCCACATGGGTAAGAACATGTAAACAAAAATCCTACAGTCATTATGTAATGAGAATAGTATTGTGTAAGGACGTTGTGCAAGGGCCCCACGTGCAACTTGAAGAAAACCTGTACACATTCAGGTCATTTTAGAAACGTGGGCCAAGTAATATGTTACAACAGTGTCCACCCATTGAATGTAGTTAGAAACCATATAATAGTTACATGTAATTCGTTAAACGTGTTGTAGTCGATTTTGCTGCAGAAATATAGTCACGTTTTTCTTCACGAGGTATTTTAAGATACCCCAAAGCGTATATAATTATGAACACCACCTGGGTGGTAAGATTAATGGACTAAAATGCCTCTGCAAGGCGTTGTACGCAACCTACACCCATCCCTGCATTGCTTCGGCTACTGTGGTGGAAGTAATCTCCAACCTCAAGCAGAGCAAATGCAGAACTATGAACGGACAAAAGCAGGACACAAGCTTCAGTTCGCCCATCCTTGATCCTGTGAATTGGGCTGGATCTAATGCGGTAACGTCTACTTAGTAATTATGTGATCACCTTTCCTGCTTGAGGCTATAGATCGGAGCGTGGCACAAAAACAAACACAGCACTCTCCACTAAACAGTTGCGTGTACAGCTCTCTCTCTCTCTCTCTTTATTTCTCTCTTTCTCTCTCTCTGTCTGCCTCTCTCTGTCTCTCTGTCTCTTACTATCTTTCCCTCCCTCCCCTACTCTCTATCTCCCTCCCTCTCTCATTTGTTTGTTTGTTTGTTTGTTTCTCCCTCCCTCTCACTCTCGCCCCCCTCTCTCTCTCTTCTCTCTCTCTCTCTCTCTTACCTGAATGTAAAACTCATGAAATAAATGATAAAGAGTAAGCTATAATAAGGGCCAAGAGAAAGCACAAAACTTGGTTTGGACAGACTGTGACATAACTCAGGCCTTAGTAATAGTGTAAGGCATGCCACTCTAATCTTCGCCACAAGGCATGTCAATGTTTATAAGTAGGTACTTTGAGTCCCATTGTTCTGTGCTTTTCTATAGCGAGAAACCTTCGTTATTTATAGACAAATCAGAATGATATGCTAGTAATGAATGGTTAGTGCTTAACCAATGAAACATGTAATTTTATGACACGTAATGGAACAGAAGATTGAATGCGGTAAGTTAAAGCAGGTAGCGATAGGATAAGCAAAAGAGCGCAAACAAAGGACTAGAAGAAGGTGATAATTTATTTGTCCCATCAGTTATGATAATAACAACTTCTTACCTATGATGTAGCCACTAACCCACCCACCCCCATTCCTCTAGTCTCCACCAGACTCCTTTGCAAGCAGAATAAATAGCAGAAATCGGCCTAAAAGGGGGGGATATCATTGGCGAGAGGAGTTGGCCGGCCAGAGAGGGTCCAATTTGCCTCCAACTCCTCTGGCCAATGACATCCCCCTTTTAGGCCGATTACTACTATTTTTCAGCCTGCAAAGGAGTCTAGTGGAGACTACCACCCCTCTACAATTACACAAAACTGTAATTATGACCACTTCGCAGCCGAGTGAATAATAACAGTCATGAATAATTAAATAGCGCAGCCACCGACCCAGAACTTACCCATCGGTATCTAAACACATGTATGACCTTTGTAAACCAGTCCAACAGCTGCCTTGGCTCGTGTTTTGGGGATCAACTGTAATGCAGTGTAGGCACGAGAGGGGGAAGGTCAAACTGATCATGAAGTTATATGTGTTCAACTTTAGTGGTGATATTTACGCTGTCTTTGACTTGACTTTGACTTTATTGGGATCCACACTTACTGTAGCTTACAACAAATGTAGCTATTCTTCCTGTGGTCCTTCAAACACACACGACACATTTACAAAACATAAATACATTGGCAATTACAACATATTAACACAGCTTAAAATAAGGCTATATAATAACGCTGTGCTAGTATATAGATGAGAAGAGCCTAAGTTTGCCAGTTCACGCTAGTTGCTGCTTCTGCAATGTAAGCTCCATATCACTGCATGGAATCTAATGCCTAAGAGTTTGCGTAAAGCTCCTTGCGTAAAGGTACCGTTTGTTTGACAAACGGTCTTCTTCATCATCATCATCATGAAGATCATGATGATGATGATGATGAACGGTCTTCCTCCTCCTCCTCATCATCATCATGCAGACCGTTCTTCATCATCATCATCATCATCATCATGACCGTTTGTCAGTCAACTGTAAACGTAACCTTTACGCAAACTTTAGGACATCCTTAAATATGCTTCGCTTCTGCTTTAGATAAACCAGGCAGCACATATGGCTCGCCCACACTCTCATTTAAGCCTGCCTCAAAGTATGCGTAAAGGTTCCCTTTTTCAGTTGCCTGTAAACGCAACCTTTACGCAAACTTTAAGACGCACTTAAATATGCTTCGCTTCTGCTTTAGATATGTTTAGTGAACCAGGCAGGCAGCAACTATTGTTCCTCCACACTCTCCAATATCAAAGCATGCCTCAACCTATGATAAAGCTTTACGCAAACGTCAAGGCCTTCTTAAATATTCTTCGCTTCTGCTTTAGATAAACCAGGCAGTACCTATGGCTCGTCCACACTCTCATTTAAACATGCCTCAAAGTATGCGTAAATGTTTCCTTTACCAGTAAACTGAAACGCGATCTTTACGCAAACTTTAAGACATGCTTAAATAGGCTTCGCTTCTTGCTTTAGATAAACCGGGCAGCACGTATGGCTCGCCCACGCTCTCATTTAAGCCTGCATCAAAGTATGCGTAAAGGTACCGTTTACAGACAACTGAAAACGAAATCTTTACGCAAACTTTACGGCGTGCTTAGATATGCTTCGCTTCTGCTTTAGACAAACCAGGCAGCACGTATGGCTCAGGCAGCAGCTTCGGCGCTTCCACACTCTCCAGCGACAGTTCCAATGACTCCTGGGACGCTTGCACGGCTGTCATCTCATTCAGATCACGTCAAGACAAAAGAATATTCATCGAGCCCAGGCTAGCTAGCGCCCGTAAGTCGCTTTCTGCTTTTTCTTGCTCTTAGCGATTCTTGGGGGTACTGCAGCCTTTAAAGAGATATTTTTTCACAGGATAGAGCCACCAAATAATTATTGGTGATTGAGATGCTTGAAATGTCATTGAGAGACTATTAGGAAGGCATTGAACATGATTGGGAGCTCACTGAAAGAACGTTGAGAGATCTGCTATTTTTTTTTAGGATGCTCAAAAGTCTTACAGCGGTCTCATCTCTGTGTTCATGACACGCTCCACCACATTACAAACATACAGTATGACTACCCAGCTACACAACGTAGACAATTAATCAGCAATGTGAATTGGGTTTATCAGTTTGGGCATTACACTACACCTAATTACACTTAATTACAGGGCGTTGCACTATACCTGATTACACAAAATTAGATGTATTATATACATCATTTGTTCCAGTTATGTCAGCAGCGTCATCTGACGAGAAGAAAGTGCTCAGCAACCTCGCGGGCTTGTCACAGTCAGTACGGAAGGCACAACTTAAAGGTACATGACATTGCAACATTTTCATTGCAAGAATAGATACTGAATCATAATTATAGCAAAAGAGTTGGCATAAATTAAGTAATAGCTCCTGGCCTGGCCTTACACAGGTTTTTCACTCTCTGAATATAAAAAATATAGGCGAGAGAGAAAAAAAGAATTTTGGGAAATGCTCAGCCACCTGTGAGGATCGAACTCACGACCCCTGGTTTACGAGACCAGTGCTCTACCTCTGAGCTAAGGTGGCTGATGCCACGTCTGTATTTTCGCATGTTGAGAAACTGAAAGATGCTGATGGGGTAAAATGCATGACAGTCAAACATTCGTTATCACATCAGAATACCAACAACCTGCCAATTATGGCCACTTTTGGTTGCCTCTTCTTTTTTTCTTATCTAAGTATTCAGAAGTTTGTGTGTTACGCCGAGGGGCGATTATATCGGCTAGAAAGATCCAGATACAGAAGAGGGAATGAAGAAAAACGTAATGCAAGAGCAGCACCTTTCAATGAATGCGGCTGCCAACCACGATGATCAACTTAGAATGCATTGAGATTGTACCCAGTTGTCAATGAGGCATTGCCACATGTCAACTGTCACCAACAAAAGTTGCAATTTCTCCCTGAAGTGTATTGATACAAACGTTGTTGTGATGACGTAGGTAAGATGACGGGAGGAATGATCCCAGGAAAGATCATGTCGAAGGTGCAGGCCCTAGCGACTCCTGACAGTATTGCAACGCTCGACAAACTGGGTATGCTGAACAAGCTTGGACCTCTCGCTTCGGTAAGGTCCTAGTTTTACTTATTTCAGGGCTGAAGAATAGGTTGCTACGAGACAAAACTTTCACGAACTATTTTGATAAGTTTATCAGCTTTATGGCGTAAAATCTTCGCTGGCATGCGAGACAACTGGAATGGACTAAAACTGTAGTATCATTGATAAATCAAGCTAACGAATTATCCATTGGCTGACGAACCTTAAAATCATCTTCGGGAATACATCTAGAACGTGAATTTCATACTATTTTCTTGGACTAAAATTATGCCATTTTGCAAGTGTAACTGAACCTCTAGAAAGCAATTATTTTTCAAAGCCATAACGATAATGAGAGAGGGAGAGAAGGGGGAGCGAGAGCGAGCCAGAGAGAGAGAGAGTAAAGTAAGGATATTTGATCTTCCTTAACTTATTTTTCTTTCCAATCTACTCTCCAGGTCTTGATCGGCATGTCAGGACTCAACAAAGGCGGCAAGAAAGGAGGGAAGAAGGGCGGCGGCTTCCTGAAGGGTCTGGGGAGTAAAGACAAAGGCAACAACATCGACCTGGGAGCGCTGCAGAGCCTTGGCAGTATGCTAGGCGGCGGGTCCAAGATGGCGGCGATGGCGGGCATGGCCGGGATGGTGGGCTCAAAGATGCCGCCACTGGTAAACACTGTTTTATTACCTTCGCAAAGTAGGTTATGTTGTCGTAGGCGTTCGTCTATGTTTGTGTCTGTGTTTGTGTGTGTGTGTGTCTGTCTGTAAACAACTCAAGAAGGCTTGTATGGATTGTCTTGATATTTGGTAGGTGGGTTGGCCTTGATGAGACATAGAAATGATTAGATTTTGATTGTTGTCGATTCTTTATTTTCATGTTACATGTACATTCACTTACAATTAGCCTAACGTCAGAAACGTGCAATAAACTTTCTTTACCTTTCTATCTTGGTAAAGGGAGGAGGAGGCCGCGGTGGATTCGACCCCACAGACGGGCTAGACATGCAAGACGCCCGAGCACTGGCCGGGATGGCCTCTCGATCAGGAAACGCGCCGCGAGGGCCACCACAGGGGCACCGTTTCGACCCCTCGGATGGTCTAGATTTGGACGATGCACGCGGAGCGTATGATATGTACCGAGGACAGTCCGCGGGTTATAGAGGCCAGCCGGACCCGAGGGTCATTCGTGGCGCGCCCTCGGGTTACGAGGGCCGCGGGGGACCGAGGTTAGATATGGGGGATGGAATGGATATTGAGGATATGCAAGCAGTAGCGGGGAGGGTCGGGGGCAGGTATTAGAATACAACAAGCTACATACGTCGATGAAGACATCCAGGTAATAAGATACGCCAAAAACAGTTACTCAAGCAACTGGATATGATTTTGGAAACGGTCACTGACGGATGTTTCAGGTAGCATCCACTGACGAAAGGTAGTGGATGCTACAGGAATGTATGACTGTTTCCAAAATCATATCCAGTTGCTTGAGTAGCTGTTTTTGGCGTAACAAGCTACATAGCTTGGCAGATGTGTATTTCTGTAATAACACGGTCACATTGATATGGATAGATTGTTTTATAAGCCTTAGTATTAATCGTATCAGCAAATTAACAAAAAACAAAACACCAAGTGAGCCGTGTTCGTATTCATTCATCGTGAAAGAACAAATTAAACGTTGCAGCTTTTGATGTCCGAAATAAGTCTTTTTATTACCTACGAGAATATAAGTAGAAAAGGACATCTTGAACAATATATTGCCCCGAAAACGACTTTTTTATATCTATTCAATATGTAATAGTGAGCAATCACGTTAATTAGTGTAGGAATATATGTTATGTCGTATTTATTCAAAGATATACAAGAAGTATATAGTCTATATTTCATCAGCTTCATGTAGACCTTTTAAAATGGTACGATGCTGTAAAAATTACATAATCTTGAAGAATACTGTAGGATACTATGTAATAGTATGTGTAATGTATACTTACTGTACGTGGAGAATTATATTAAATACATAAAACTATCAATATATACCGTATCATTTCTTATGTTTACCGAAGGAAAACATATTGTTTTTGCTCAGCTTCCTCTTCTTCTTCTTCTTTAAACCAAAAAGATCAATGACCTGGCGCCAGACATGTCACCATGGTAACTGGTGTTGCAATTTTTTAGTAGGAGGGATTTAGACTCCTGTCTGGCCCTATATATGAATGTGTGTGGGTACGAATTAACAGAGCAGACCATATGCGAAGGTAAACATTATGCATTTGCTTTGTAAATGCTACCTCTCTAGTTTATCTTCTGTGTTCTTTAACGAGGGTAGCACTACTTAGTGGCGTAACACTGCTTTATCGGTATATCACTAAGGGCGCAGGTGGTTTAAGATCATGAACAGGGATGATAACACAGATTGACCTTGTCATCCCAATCACATCAGCCAACAGTTCCGTGAAGAAAAGCGCGGCTCCGATGTCCACATCGATTTGATTGATGGATCTTTTGTATCATCATTATGTACAGGGCACATGCGGGTAGGGATGGGGCTGGTACTGTTGTATGTAATGCTCAATACGTCGGGACGGTTGATTTTGAATTATTAATTACCTAACAACGTAACCCTCTAAGCAGGCTTCTTGGGTAGAGTTTTTTTGCCAATTAGTGTGCTTTTATGTAATTCTATTTTCAGCTTTCTATTCTGTAACCGGTGTCCAGCCTTAGGCTGGTCCTCGGTAAAATCAGTTGACTGATGTAGAAACAGAAAACAGCACCTTGTAAACCCTGTGAGCCTTGCCAAGTAGCCTGATAGCGAGGCTAGGGCTATTGTATGTGGTGTAGCTCAGACAAGCACGCTTTTTGGAATGTGAGGGTAAAATGTAATTTTTCTGTTGGCGTTCGGAGCGAGACATTGTGGTTTATACGGCGGTGAACTGAAGATTCAGCAAGAAGACGATTTGTTTATTTATCAACAATTCCAGGTGAGGCATTTGGTTTTGCTTACAAAACATAATGATGAATATAATTTATATTTCTATTATTTCGTATAACGTAAGCGGCCGGAAATTGTATATTGTACGTAAAGTAATTTGTAATCCGAACAAATAATGCAGTCCTCTAATGAAAAAGAGCAAGGAATTCCATCAAGGTGCATCATACTTAACTCTATTCTTTATTGTTTCAAAGACCTCCATTAATGATAGTACATAAATATACACATGCCTTCATTACTCTTCCTGGAGTCTTAAATAACATATACACACACGTAACATACACATAAGATCAAAAATTATGACATACACACTACATTAAATTTGAGTACACAATATATATATCATTCTTCAATGATTTAAGTTTTGATGAACACAAGTGATTTTATTCTAAAAGAACGGAAGGTTATCGTAAAAGTGACAGGGTGACCACAGCATTGACAGCGTTGACCTAATACCTCAAGGATCACACTAGGACTGATACAGTCACGCAAATACAGCATAGTCGCGTTTTGTAGCATCTTCAAATTCATTAATGTATATTGATATTATAAAAAAAACTTGTCACTTTTTAAGCAGTTTGGTCGTCAGATGAGTGCCAACCAAAGTGAAGTTTTCAATGTATTTTTTATAATAAAATACTATAACGTGTTCATATTGATTTGAAAACGTAAAAGTAATTTACATTTTCCAGCTTAATTCTTCCAGAAACAAAAATGGTGAAGATAACATTTATATATAATTTCCTACATAAATATCCTATTGTACAAATATGGTGAAGATAACATATGTATTTATAATAGTACATTGCATAGTATAGTTTGCAGAATGGTGTATACTGACAGCAACTGTATCATAACAATCGCAGCCCGAATGTTCTCTCTCTCTCTCTCTTTATATATGCATATATAGATATAGATATAGATAGATAGATAGATAGATAGATAGATAGATAGATAGATAGATATAGATATAGATAGATAGATAGAGAGTATATATTAGTTTAGTCGTAAAACAGTCATTATAAAGATCATGTTTCGTATCGTTTGATAATGACGTAATATGTCGCGACGTGGACCTTTTTTGTTATCAACGAAACAGTGCGTGAGCCGTCTTAGAGCCGAGATCAAACGATAATACCAAAAGAAACAAAGAAGAAGATAAGATAGGAGATGTGGAATTAAGCTGAGTGACAGAGCTACAAATGGCCAGCGAAGAAGGAATTAAGCATTAAAAAGATTAGACGATTTGTAGATGGGAATTCCTAATCTTATATGAAAGCCTGGACAGCATTTAATGTCAATTTCTCACACGAATGACGTGGGCTGGTTAGTATTTTCGTGACTGGCAGAGGAGGATTTCGGTCTGGTTGAAACGTTGTGTCAATGATAGTAAATCTCCCCTATTGTAGGAAATGCCATGTTAATTTTCATGAGAACACAACATAGCTTTTGATTCTGCTTTAGAAGTGGGATTCACCAATGAGAATAGATGCCAGCTTTGTCACACTTCAAAATCTTACGGAATTCGTTTGACGATATGGCGGAGATACAATAAGGTAATACTAGTAGCTTAGGTAACACCTGGAATTCAATACGCTGCGTTTACTTCGCCCCACAGCGGCATTTACCAAAAGAAATAAATTACAGGTAAGTCTTTTTGTTATGTCCGGTCATGTCTGTCTAAACAATAGTGATATGTACCAGGTAGGTCTAAATAATCTTTGGCTGAAGCAGCAAATACCAAAACTGACCATCACCAGACTTAACTGGTTTTTATCGTCATTGTAAAATCCTACAGTTCTTGTATGGTGTATTGTTTCTTCTGGAATTCTTCAGGTAATTTATTTCTATTTCATTTTTACAGCATTGTTAAATCCTACAATTCGTGCATTGTGTATTGTTTCTTCTGGCATTGTTCAGGTAATATATTTTTCTGTATATTTTCAAGACCGTGCATGGCATCTCTCAGATCACACACCATTCCCACTTCACTGTCAGTTTAAAAGGTCCATTCTCCTAAAAAGTCATTGCATATTCAACGAAACGTACGAAGGCTGTTCCATCCTAAGGTTATGTTGTCTAAAGCGCTACAATATTTTATGCTCTAGGAAAATTCTTTGTACGACGAGACCGGAGCAACGTCAACATCCCGCTCTCCCAGACAAAGCAGCTAGCTGAAGACAAGGCAAGATGGCAGGTCCTGGCGAAACGCACCGAGTGAGTGAGTGAGTGAGTGAGTGAGTGAGGAAAATTCTGATCCCTCATAAGACTTCTTAAGAGAAGCCGAAGTCTACAGACATGTTCGTCATTGGGAACGTTGTTATCATCCTCATCCTGGCGCCAGTCATCTCATCCCAGGCCTCCTCCACGTCACCTGGGTTCTCGCTGGCTCTCAGACTGACTTCAGCAACATCTGCTGGACACTCGGGAACTTCTGGTCAGGCTACAAACCCTGGGCAAACTCAGACTACTACCCAGTCCTCATATACAGCACCTAGACTGACCAATGCAGGTCAATCTCAACCTACTGGTCAGCCTACGACCATGGGACGATCGCTGATTTCTATTCTATCGTCCAGTACAAGACATACTGGAGATCAGATTACGAAGTCTGGACAATCTCCAGCTACCGTTAACCCCATTTCCACTGCTACAGAATCGGCTATCGCAGGACAGTCGCCCACTGTTAGAACGCCTTTACCAACCAGTGCACGATCACTAACGTCTATTCTATCCAGAACAATACCACATTCGTCAATTGCTGGGCAGTCCTTGTCTGCCGATAAATCAACAACTACAAGAACGTTGACTTCAGTTCTGACTAACAGAATGCAACAGACGTCAACCGTGGCTGCCGGTGGGCCCATCACAGTACGACAGGCTATTACTACTGGGTCTCCTATTCCGGAATATTCCCCAACTACAGGTGAGTTTAGAGCTGTTAAAGACAATGTGTGAAGTTGGTTTGTGTCCGGACAGCCAAATGACAATTTTGTTGTTACTTTTCATTTTGTTTGTCTACCTTTGATTCTCTCTCTCTCTCTCTCTCTGTTTCTCTCCCTCTCTCCGTGTATGTGTGTGTGTGTGTGTGTGTGTGTGTGTGTGTGTGTATCTTAAATATTTAGCTATACGTGTAAAGAGTTACGTCTGCCATCTCCGGTTTCTTGCTTACATTGTAAAAAAGGAACGTTGAACTTAATATTCGAAGTTATCTCTTCAAGAATCAAAATGTATTCAGACATCTAAAAGATGTATGGATGTTGTCAATGAAAAAAAAAACAACACATGTCCTCTTTTCTATGCCGGTCTATTTAGATAAGTGGTAACGGATGTTGACGGTAATCTTATTCTACATACACTTTCCATTGTGCTTTGTCTCTGGGCGAAAAGGTCAATAAGTACTGACAACTCTTAAGGCGAGAGTTCTACTGTGATAAGATCTCATGCCTAGGGCCTCCGTGTCACGCTATATACAAATTACTAGACAATGGAGAGGGTCAAAGGCAATTCTAAATGCCGGTGGATAAAATCATCTTTGCTTCACTGAAAAACAGCGTGTAATATAAGAAAAATCCAAGTTTGGTGTGAAATACCACTGTGCTCAGACTATCGATGGAAACGAAATCATCATCTAACACAATTCATGTTCATATACAGTTTCAGCTCGAACTCTCGAGGCATACCTTAAGATCTGTCATGAGTACAGATACGTTTATTGGCAAGAGTCCCTGCTTGCAGACTTCCAAATGCAATGAAATGCAATAAAATAACTTTTAATCAACGCTTAAAGTCACGTATGCTAATAAAGATTTGGACATTTTGTTCTCTAGTCGATCCTTCAATTCCATATCTTGTCACCTACGAGAGCTAGAGATAAACACAAAACTGTTGTTGATGGTTTCGACAGTTTTGGCGACGTCTCAGGGAGGAGCATAATGGTGCAGTATTGTGTGCAATTCGCAAGAATTCTAGACTTAACAGCTACAAAGTCTTCCTCAAAATCATGAAATGATGGCAGTGCCAAACAATAACCCTAACAGCAACCACCGTCGCCATGGCAATGTATGTTTTCATTGCCAGTCTTGTTTATGTTCCAGCCGACCCGTTCAGAGAGTGTTATGACGGGTTCGGGGAGACCTACCGCGGAACAATCAACACCACCACCTCAGACATAGAATGCCTGCCGTGGAGCTCCCCTCTGGTCGAAGTGTTCTTCAGTCCCAGAGCCTTTGAACGGTACCACCTGGAAGATAACTACTGCCGGAATCCCTCCCCGGAGACGGATCTAAAGCCGTACTGCTTCATCATAAACCCGTACAATGACGACCAACTGTCCTTTCACGACTGCCCAGTCCCAAACTGCGGTAATCCTGAGTTTCATGTTCAAGCTCTTATTGCCTGGGCTCGGGTACTCTTCAAGCAGTCTCAGGTTTAGGCTTCGGCTTTTTTGGGACGTGTTTTAGGCGTTCAAATCGGGTTTTCTTTTTGGATGGTTTTGTTACGCCAGCCACACAAAATTCCCGGAAAAAGAAAACCTGATGAAAACGCCTAAAACACGCCAAAAATAAGCTGAAGCCTAAGTTCTGCTTGGAGAGTAGTGTTAGACAATCTCTTGCTGTTTGGGGCTGATTGAGTCTCCATATTCCTAGCGTTCTCCATGCATGCAGCATAAGTAACATTCTGCAACTGCAGAAATAGTAGTAGTAGTAGTAGTAGTAGTAGTAAAAACTAGTCAACCTACAGCCGTAGTACTTTAGCAGTTTAACTGTAGTTAAATTCGACAGCCGTATCAATAGTTGTAACAATGTGCGACTTCAACTGTATTATACTATACTACAGAATAGAATTAATGCATAATGGGGTTAGCTCTGTGCCATTTATATAATTTATCTCTCCGTTAAAACATATCTAGATTTGAAAGGGGTGGGGTGTTTAATTGTATTTCTCACAATTCCTGTATCTTTAGATCCAACGACAACGCTGCCAACGACAACACTGACAACGACAACGATTACAACCACTCCCGAGACCACAACCGCGATCCCTACAACGCTCGTGACAACAGCGATGTCCACCACGTACCTACAAACCACGATACAACTTGGGTCATCGTCTGGCGGCCAACAGTTGACCGGTTCGCCTGGGAACGGCGGTGGCGCAAACGGTGGTGATTCTACAACCACGGAATCCACGGACGATCACACTGCTGTCACAGACTACACTGTGGAAGGAACAACTGGGAACGGTGGAGGTGCCGGTGGAGGTACCGGTGGAGGTACGGGTACCAGTGGAGGTGGGGGTACTGGCTCCGGTAGCGGTACCGGTGGAAGTACTGGCACTGGTGGAGGTACTAGTGGAGGCGACGGTACAAGCGGCAGTGGAGGCACGGGTACTGGAGGTACCGATGGAGGTACAAGTAGTGGTGGAGGTGGAGGCACAGGTACCAGTGGAGGTACCGGTGAAGGCGACGGTACAAGCGGCAGTGGAGGTACGGGCACCGGTGGAGGTACTGGTGGAGGTACAGGTACTGGTGCAGGTGGGGGTACAGGAACTGGTGGAGGTGGAAGTACCGATGGGGGCACCAGTGGAGGTACTGGCACTGGTACCGGTGGAGGAACCGGTGGGAGTACGGGTACTGGGACAGGTGGCAGTACCGATGGTGGTGGCAGTGGAGGCGATGGCGGTGGAGGTGACGGTACAAGCGGTGGAGGTACTGGTACCGGTGGAGGTACCGGTACAGATGGCAGTGGAGGCGACGATACAAGCAGTAGTGGAGGCGTCTGGTACCGGTGGAGGTACCGGTGGAGGCTCTGGTACCGGTGGAGGTACCGGTGGAGGCTCTGGTACCGGTGGAGGCTCTGGTACCGGTGGAGGAACAGGAGTTGGCGGAGGCGACGGCGGAACTGGTGGCAGTGGGAGCGGAGGCAACGGCGGCGATGGTACCGTGGGAGGCGACAATGGTGCCGGCATTGGTAACAGCACCGGGTCAGGTGCTGGCAACAATACCGGTGGCAGCAACGGCGGTACCGACGGAGACGGCTCGGGATCAGATGGTAGTTACGACAACAAACCAGGTGAGCCAGTTTTTTTTTTCATTCACATATTGAAGACAGTAGTGATACATCACAAAGTGGAAGCGCAGTCAACTAGCAAGGACTTCTGTTAACGTTACCAATTACACATATAAATGAAGTGCAAATGGTGATTGTATGAAAAACAGAGACTCGCATCAGAACGCAAAACCAAGCGCAAAACCAAAAATAAGTCCATGGTGTAGATGGAGTACTTTCATGGTCTTGTAAGACCGACGAAATGCCTACTAATCATACGACTGGTGCTCCTCTTTCTTTCAGGCTGTCGAGAGGACCAGTTTCTAGTGCGAGCTAACCCTTATATGCATATCTCACAATTCTGTGTGTGACACAATTTACGACTGTGAAGATTTCAGTGAGGAACAAGACTGCCGTAAGTTCGCCAGAAAGGCCCATATTTGCGGTGGTCTGGTGCTTCGCAGGGTGCTTTTAAAAATCGTTCTAATTGCTTGAGTAACTGTCAACTTTTCTTCTTGTGTACCTGGGTGTCTAACCTTCATCGATGCACATGGTGTTAAATATGAAAGTATCAATGGCATCATCTTCACCTCTTTGCTTTTGCTCTTCGAGAAAGTTAAAATTACAACATGGCTTTTCGATAAATTAAGAAGAAGTGGGCGTGAAAGTATATTTCACACACATACAGCCTCACAGCTTGATAACTTTAATTAAGCAAAGCGGTGAGACTAAACGTACCACGCCAAAGCAAATTGTTGAGATCACAAGAAGGTGCATAACTCACAACAATGCACTAGAGTTAAATATTCTTGACCACCAATTAGTTAAAACCATTTGGTGAATGGTGTGGTGCAAGCACTAAAGCAGGAGACTAGCCTGTTAATGTCTGTAAGTCTTGCTCACCAGAAAAGCTACATTCATACAAGTCTATATTCGATGAGCTTATGCAGCTATGATGTAGTCATTCGACTACTAAAAGTGCAGGAGTACAGGCAGCAACTCTTTAGATTTTATCTATCACTGATTATGGGGGGCCTGCTTGGGGGGGGGGTCCGACAACGCTCTACGCTGAATTCGGAAATCTCTCGATTACGCTTTACGATAAATTCCAAGTGGCTACAACGCATTACGTGGAATTAAAACGGCGAATACGCTCTACGTAGATTAAACGGCCGATTACGCTCTACGGAAAGGCATGCGGGCCCCCATTATGGACAAGCATTTACGTTTTTACAAGTACTGCTGTCTGTGCTTTAGCCTTGCACCAGTCTGATTAAAGAACGTATTTTTCAGGATGCCCAGGGGACGACTTTGAATGTAATGACGGAATCTGCATACCTTTGGGCTTTCTTTGCGACCAGTATCACGACTGTCCAGACTCAAGTGACGAGAACATCAACTTCTGCGGTAAGCTAACGTTCTTCCTACTTGTTTGCATCTCAGCCATTTGTGTGTTTTCTGTATTTGCATATAAATTCAACTACCTATTTATGTACATATACAAGTGTCTTTGGACTCATTCTTTGTCAATGATGAAAGATGGTGGATGCAGTTCCTGTACACTCCACTAGGAGGTGCTTATAATATCTCTGATTGCCTTACAGTGCCTTAGTGTTACATCTAACAAGAGGTGGAGCATGGTGAAATGATAGACTTTGTAATACCAGATGATTAAGTGGAAACTCATAATGTCACTACTGTGCTTGTCTGAGAGCAATAAACTTGATCAAAACCAGAAAACCGGCCGTCAGAACTGGCAGCAGTCTTGTTGAACATAAATGGCAATAGCTTTAAAACTTTTTAAACCCATATCCAAACCTAATAAATCATTGTACGTTTTCAATTGCAGCTCCCCTTTTCCCATCGAGGTACCCAGACTGGGTTCCCCCGACTCCGACGGCGGCGGCCGGCTCGAGTGGGGCATCTTCCGGATCCGGAGGTGGGCCATACGGAAACGGAACGTACCCATCTTGGTGGAGCCCCACAGGCGGGCCATACGGAAATGGCACGTATCCGGATTGGTGGAGGCCCGATGGAGGTCCATACGGAAACGGGACGTATCCGGATTGGTGGAGGCCCGATGGAGGTCCATACGGAAACGGGACGTATCCGGATTGGTGGAGGCCCGATGGTGGGCCATACGGAAACGGGACGTATCCGGATTGGTGGAGCCCTACAGGCGGGCCGTACGGAAACGGGACGTATCCAGATTGGTGGAGGCCCGGTGGTGGGCCATACGGAAACGGGACGTATCCTTCTTGGTGGAAACCGGATGGTGGTCCATACGGAAACGGGACGTATCCGGATTGGTGGAGTCCTACAGGTGGGCCATACGGAAACGGGACGTATCCGGATTGGTGGAGTCCTACAGGCGGGCCATACGGAAACGGGACGTATCCGGATTGGTGGAGCCCTACAGGGGGGCCATACGGAAACGGAATATACCCATCTTGGTGGAGCCCTACAGGCGGGCCTTACGGAAATGGGACATATCCAGATTGGTGGAGTCCTACAGGCGGGCCATACGGAAACGGGACATATCCGGATTGGTGGGGCCCAAACGACGGGCCTTATGGCAACGGAACGTATCCTTCTTGGTGGAAACCGGATGGTGGGCCATACGGAAACGGTACGTATCCGGATTGGTGGAGTCCTACAGGTGGGCCATACGGAAATGGGACGTATCCGTCTTGGTGGAAGCCGGATGGTGGGCCATACGGAAACGGGACTTATCCGGATTGGTGGAGCCCTACAGGGGGGCCATACGGAAACGGGACATATCCGTCTTGGTGGGGCCCAAACGACGGGCCATATGGAAACGGGACGTATCCGGCTTGGTGGAGGCCTGATGGAGGGCCGTACGGAAACGGGACGTATCCGGATTGGTGGAGCCCTACAGGCGGGCCGTACGGAAACGGGACGTATCCGGATTGGTGGACCTCAGACAGTGGCCCGTACGGCAACGGGACGTATCCGGATTGGTGGAGGCCCGATGGTGGACCATACGGCAACGGAACATACCCATCTTGGTGGAGCCCTACAGGCGGGCCATACGGAAACGGGACGTATCCGGATTGGTGGAAGCCGGACGGCGGCCCGTACGGAAACGGAATATATCCGTCTTGGTGGAGGCCGGATGGTGGGCCATACGGAAACGGGACGTATCCGGATTGGTGGAGCCCTACAGGTGGGCCATACGGAAACGGGACGTATCCGGATTGGTGGGGCCCAAACGACGGACCTTATGGAAACGGGACGTATCCGTCTTGGTGGAGCCCTACAGGGGGGCCATACGGAAACGGGACGTACCCATCTTGGTGGAGCCCTACAGGTGGGCCGTACGGAAACGGGACGTATCCGGACTGGTGGAGGCCCGATGGTGGGCCGTATGGAAACGGGACGTACCCGGATTGGTGGAGGCCCGATGGAGGGCCATTCGGAAACGGGACCTATCCGCCCGGTTGGCGACCTGGATCCGGCGTTGGTGGGCCAAACAGTAACGGCTCGTTCCCAGGGGGTGGTGGCCCACGCGGCACGGCTCGTACCAGGAAGCGGTGGGCCATACGGCAATGGCACATATCCGTCCAACGGTGGTCCCTATGGCAACGGAACATACCCTTCCTGGTGGAGGCCTGGAAGCGGCGAAACTGGCCAGGATGGTGAGAAAGGCTCTTCCGGGGGCGACGGTTCTCTTAGTGTTGAGGAACTCTGGCGAAGGTTTAATCTGACGTACACGCTGAACTTGACGAAAACCCCATGCCCACCCTTCAAATTCCGACATTTCGTAGGAGCGGCTTCTTCGTTTAGTCACAGTCATAACCTGATGTTAATGATAGTTTTGTACTCTACATATGTCATAGTAACGCAACTGTGTCAACGGTCCTCTCTGACAATTCTACGAGTCTACGATCCTTTGTAACAGACATTGAACTGGTATCATGATGCATTTAGACGTCTTTGTCCAAATCCAGGCCCGTCATACGCTAAAGCCCCGATGACTATAGCCTGGTGGCTTTCAAGTGGATAAATCTAACGAACTGTCCGTTTAAGTGCAATGGACTCAAATATCATTAGAGCAATCCATGGTTAAGCGCTGAGAAGGGGCATCTTTGCTGTTTGTTTAATGCGTTAATGGACCCTTATGATGTACGCCCTTTCTATACGTCAGGCATCTGTCACAACGATGTTCCTCTTACTAGATAGTAACAACTACTACTAACAAGTGGTAGTAAAACTGTACATCGTGAAATAACAAGAAGACAGTCGCGGACGGCCTGCATGTGGCGCTCAGTTAAAGAATAAGAATACCATCTTTAAAAGATCCCCACTCAAAATCAAAGGTACTAACATGAAAAGGGGCAAAGCTTCTTCGGTCTTGAAATATCAGAATTTTATCACATTGTTGCATTTGCAAAAATAAGATTACATTCAGAAAAAAGAAGACTATGCGTTGGCCGGGAATCGAACCCGGATCTACTGCTTGGAAGGTAACAATGTTGACCATTACACCACCAACGCCTTGTAATTCAAGCCGCAATATGTGAATAGCTTTGTATTCGTATCGATAGGATTAAACAGTTCTTAAGATCTTCAACCAAAACTTGGACTCACCGGAATTTCAGACTGACTAGTTACCTACTATTCTCCTGTAAACTTCTGTAATAAGATTTTGTAACCATAGATTAACAGGAAGGTCTGACCCCACGTATAGTTACCTCGTTTCACTGGGGTACTTCTTACAGCAAGTTACGATCGAGTTATTTCTCAGTCTGTCGTAAGGCTGTAATATACATCTTTGTAAAAATGCTCTTGAATTAATAAATTGATATAGACCTTGAAGTTCAACTGGATTATTATTAGATTGAACGTAATGGAAAGCTGTAATTTCATAACATAACCACTAGAGGTCCTCACTCAAGAAACAGAGATCGAATGGTGGGATCATTGCACTTTAATTGCTCTTAAATATACGTACTTTTCAATAAAGCTATCATTTATACATGTATTACACACACCCATATATATTGGTTAAAGATTAATTCTCAAACACGTTATCACCAGATTTTTTTTGTTCTAACACTTCTTAACAATGGTTACATTATATATAGTGCAATTCATATTACATATGTAAAGGCAACATTTATTTTACAAATGTTCATCAGTAATGCTGAATATTTCAAAATATAGCGGATCCTTAGGCGGTGTTCCGACACATTCACACATAGGATTTGGCTTAAAGCAGTGTGTTTTGTGCAAAAACGTGTAGATATTGAATGTAAGCCTGAGACTGACCCTGCCTTGCCTGATCATGAATAATTTTCAATATATTTACACTGGTGATCATCACCACTGGTTATTACAGTAACTGTGGTGTTTGTGTTGGATTCAGTGATGGTCTGACACTGACCCTGCCCTGTCTGATCATGACCACTGGTCATTACAGTAGCTGTTGTGTTTGTGTTGGATTCAGTGATGGTCTGAGACTGACCCTGCCCTGTCTGATCATGATGGTCACTATTTTCATACTGGTGAGCACCACCACTGGCCACTACAGTAGCTGTGGTTTGTGTGGTGGATGCAGTGTTGGTCTGAGACTGACCCTGTCCTGTCTGATCATGCTGGTCACTATTTTCATACTGGTGAGCACCACAACTGGCCATTACAGTAGCTGTGGTTTGTGTGGTGGATGCATTGTTGACCTGAGACTGACCCTGTCCCTTGTACAATATATTTGGTATCAAAGCAGCTAGGATCGCGTCCTTTGTTAGATTTCCAACTATCGGAGATCCAGGGTCAGTCTTATTTTGACCATTCTCTGTCTTACCACGACGGTTGTCAATGTCTTCATACTGGTGATAATCAGCACTGGTCATCACAGTAGCTGTTGTGTTTGTGTTTAATTCAGTAATGGCCTGAGACCCACCCTTACCTGCACGCGTAGTATTTGACTTTAAGACACCTGGATTTGCAGATTGAATAGTTGCCTGGTCATATTTGTCAATATCTTCATACTGGTTGTCACCTACTATATTGGGACTTATAGGAGGATGCCTCGTCCTTTTCTTGTACCAAAGTATGACCAAGATGGTACCCATAAGAAGAACACCACAAAGGCAATGATAACAGGTACGAGGAAGTTGTTAGTACTCTCTAATGGTTTAAGAAGTGGCCGAGTAGTAACTGTTGAGCCTCCATTATATGCTGACGGGCTAGCAGAAGAGGTTTGGTTGCCAAACAGTGTTGGTATGGTTTGCCCTTCACATATCAGGTCTTCAAGTTTAACATCTGCCAGATTCTCTCCTTGTAATTTGGCTGGTTGGGAACATATTATCTGGTCTGTATATGAAGGGATTTTACTGATATCCAGTTTAAAGGGGGCCATGTTACAATCACACCGCCAGGGATTATGGGTAAGTCTTATGGTACTAACAGATGGTAAGAAGACAAAAGCTGAGGGGAGAATGGCAGATATTTTGTTCTCCCGAAGGTCCAAATTTTGGAGATTTTGTAGATTTTCAAACGCTTTTGAAGGGATGTTCGTTATATAGTTGGAGTACAGGTTTAAATCTTGTAGCTGGGGTACATTTTTGAATGCACTTGACTTAATCTCGTATATACAGTTGTAGGACAGGCGTAACACTTGCAGTTGTTGCTGTACGTTGTAAAATGTAGGGATGGTATCAATCCGGTTGTTAGACAGGGACAACTGTTTTAGTCGCGGTAGGTGTGTAAACGTGAATGTATATGTTTCGTTATTTAACTCATGGAGGCTTATTCTGTTGAATGAGAGGCACAACTGTTCTAGTGCGGGTAGGTGTCGAAATGTATAAACCCATGCAATCACTGTTAACTGGTTGTCGTTCAGATACAACTGCTGTAGTTGGCGTAGGGAAGAAAATGCACGAACCTGAATCGATGTTATTTGGTTGCTGTGCAGGTACAAATTGCACTAGTCGGGGCAGATTTTCAAATAATTGTTTCTCAATCTTTATCATCTTGTTGCTGTGCAGGTCCAACGTTCGTAGTTGGGATACATTCTGAAATACGCCTTTCCTTATCATTGTTATTTGGTTGCTGTCAAGGTATAACTGTTCTAGTCGAGGCATGTTTACAAATGTACCTGCCTTCATCATTGTAATTTGGTTGCCACTCAGGGACAATACTTTTAGTTGGTGTAGTTTTTGAAAAGTACCTACTTCGATCATTTTTATCTTGTTGCGATCCAGGAACAACCGTTTTAATCGGGGTAGATTTGTAAGTGTATCAGCCTTAATAGTTCTTATCTTGTTGTTATTCAGGTTTAAATGTGCTAGTCGCGGTAGATTTCGAAATGTATCTGCCTGAACAATTGAAATTTGGTTGTGATTCAGGTACAACCGTTCTAGCCGGGGTAGGTTTGTAAATGTACCAGCCTTAATCGTTGTTATCTTGTTGTTATTCAGGTTTAAATGTGCTAGTCGCGGTAAGTTTTTAAATGTACCTGCCTGAACAATTGAAATTTGGTTGTGATTCAGGTACAACCGTTCTAAACTTGTTAGATTTGTAAGTGTACCCGACTGAATCATTGATATCTTGTTTTTACTCAGGTTCAGATTGGCTAGTCGGGGTAATTTTTGAAATGTGCCGGACCGAATATCTGCTAAATTCTTGTTCATCCGCAAGTCCAACTGGTAAAGTAGGGGTAAATCGTTAAACATGTCACTGTGCAATGTTGTTATAGGGCTAAGGCGCACTTTCAACGTTTCTAATTGGCGTAGATTCTGAATTTGTGTCATGTTGTTCCTGTCAAGGATCAACACTCGCACTGGAAATATATCTTCAAATGTTTCTCTCTTAATTATTCCTATAGGGTTGCTCTTCAGGTGAAGTTCCAGTTTGGAAACGTTTTGAAATATGCCAGGTTTGATCTCAGTTATGTTGTTGTGAGATAGGCACAACTTTACTAGTCGGGGCAGATTCTGAAACGCGCCTAACTCAATCAATGTTATCTGGTTGCGATCCAGGTACAACCGTTCTAGCCGGGGTAGGTTTGTAAATGTACCTGCCTTAATCGTTGTTATCTGGTTGTCATTCAGGTTGAAATATGTCAGTCGGGGTAAGTTTTTAAATGTACCCGCCATAATAATTGAAATCTGGTTTTGATTCAGGTACAACCGTTCTAAACTGGTTAGATTTTGAAATATGCCAGGCTGAAGCAGTGTTATCTTGTTTTATANCTGTCTGATGATGACCACTTGTCATTACAGTAGCTGTGGTGTTTGTGTTGGATTCAGTGATGGTCTGAGACTGACCCTGCCCTGTCTGATCATGACCACTGGCCATTGCAGTAGCTGTGGTGTTTGTGTTGGATTCAGTGTTGGTCTGAGACTGACCCTGCCCTGTCTGATCATGACCACTGGTCATTGCAATAGCTGTGGTGTTTGTGTTGGATTCAATGATGGCCTGAGACTGACCCTGCCCTGTCTGATCATGAATAATTTTCAATATCTTTACACTGATGACCATCACCACTGGTCATTACAGTAGCTGTAGTGTTTGTGCTGGATTCAGTGATGGTCTGAGACTGACCCTGCCCTGCCAGATCATGACTGTTGTTCATTACAATAGCTGTGGTGTTTGTGTTGGATTCAGTGATGGTCTGAGACTGACCCTGCCCTGTCTGATCATGACCACTGGTCATTACAGTATCTGTGGTGTTTGTGTTGGATCCAGTGATGGTCTGAGACTGACCCTGTCCTGTCTGATCATGGCCACTGGCCATTGCAGTAGCTGTGGTGTTTGTGTTGGATTCAGTGTTGGTCTGAGACTGACCCTGCCCTGTCTGATCATGACCACTGGTCATTACAGTGGCTGTCGTGTTTGTGTTGGATTCAGTGTTGGTCTGAGACTGACCCTGCCCTGTCTGATCATGACCACTGGTCATTACAGTAGCTGTCGTGTTTGTGTTGGATTCAGTGTTGGTCTGAGACTGACCCTGTCCTGTCTGATCACGACCACTGGTCATTACATTTTCTTTTTTGTACAGAGAATTTAGCTTTGAGGCAGCCAGCCCTGTGTCATAAGACAGATTTGTAGCAAACAAGGAATTAGCGATAGCCTGAGACTGACTCTGCCCTGTCTGATCATGACCACTGGTCATTACAGTAGCTGTGGTGTTTCTGTTGGATTCAGTGATGGTATGAGACTGACCCTGTCCTGTCTGATTATGACCACTGGTCATTACAGTAGCTGTTGTGTTTGTGTTGGATTCAGTGTTGGCCCGAGACTGACCATGCCCTGTTCTAACATGATGGCTGTCGATATCTTCATACTTGTGATCATCACCACTGGCCATTGCAGTAGCAGTGATGTTTTTGTTGGATTTAGCAGTCGACTGATACTGACCCTGCCCTGTTTTAACATGATTGTTGTCGATATCTTCATACTGGTGATTGCCACCACTGGCTACTTCTATAGATGCTGGGCCCTTTGGATGTGTTTTCATATCTGCATATGTAGGATTTGACTTCAAGACAGCTAGCATTTTGTTACGTGACAGCTTTGCTATTGTCGGAGATTGAGTTGTAGCCTTAGACTGACCCTGTCCTGCCTTAACATGACAGTTGTCAATATCTTCATACTTGTGATCATCACCACTGGCCATTACAGTAGCAGTGATGTTTGTGTTGGATTTAGTGATGGCCTGAGACTGCCCCTGCCCTGTCTGATCATGCTGGTCACTATTTTCATACTGGTGAGCACCACCACTGGCCACTACAGTAGCTGTGGTTTGTGTGGTGGATGCAGTGTTGGTCTGAGACTGACCCTGTCCTGTCTGATCATGCTGGTCACTATTTTCATACTGGTGAGCACCACAACTGGCCATTACAGTAGCTGTGGTTTGTGTGGTGGATGCATTGTTGACCTGAGACTGACCCTGTCCCTTGTACAATATATTTGGTATCAAAGCAGCTAGGATCGCGTCCTTTGTTAGATTTCCAACTATCGGAGATCCAGGGTCAGTCTTATTTTGACCATTCTCTGTCTTACCACGACGGTTGTCAATGTCTTCATACTGGTGATAATCAGCACTGGTCATCACAGTAGCTGTTGTGTTTGTGTTTAATTCAGTAATGGCCTGAGACCCACCCTTACCTGCACGCGTAGTATTTGACTTTAAGACACCTGGATTTGCAGATTGAATAGTTGCCTGGTCATATTTGTCAATATCTTCATACTGGTTGTCACCTACTATATTGGGACTTATAGGAGGATGCCTCGTCCTTTTCTTGTACCAAAGTATGACCAAGATGGTACCCATAAGAAGAACACCAACAAAGGCAATGATAACAGGTACGAGGAAGTTGTTAGTACTCTCTAATGGTTTAAGAAGTGGCCGAGTAGTAACTGTTGAGCCTCCATTATATGCTGACGGGCTAGCAGAAGAGGTTTGGTTGCCAAACAGTGTTGGTATGGTTTGCCCTTCACATATCAGGTCTTCAAGTTTAACATCTGCCAGATTCTTTCCTTGTAATTTGGCTGGTTGGGAACATATTATCTGGTCTGTATATGAAGGGATTTTACTGATATCGAGTTTAAAGGGAGCCATGTTACAATCACACCGCCAGGGATTATGGGTAAGTCTTATGGTACTAACAGATGGTAAGAAGACAAAAGCTGAGGGGAGAATGGCAGATATTTTGTTCTCCCGAAGGTCCAAATTTTGGAGATTTTGTAGACTTTCAAACGCTTTTGAAGGGATGTTCGTTATATAGTTGGAGTAAAGGTTTAAATCTTGTAGCTGGGGTACATTTTTGAATGCACTTGACTTAATCTCGTATATACAGTTGTAGGACAGGCGTAACACTTGCAGTTGTTGCTGTACGTTGCAAAATGTAGGGATGGTATCAATCCGGTTGTTAGACAGGGACAACTGTTTTAGTCGCGGTAGGTGTATAAACGTGAATGTATATGTATCGTTATTTAACTCATGGAGGCTTATTCTGTTGAATGAGAGGCACAACTGTTCTAGTGCGGGTAGGTGTCGAAATGTATAAACCCATGCAATCACTGTTAACTGGTTGTCGTTCAGATACAACTGCTGTAGTTGGCGTAGGGAAGAAAATGCACGAACCTGAATCGATGTTATTTGGTTGCTGTGCAGGTACAAATGCACTAGTCGGGGCAGATTTTCAAATAATTGTTTCTCAATCTTTATCATCTTGTTGCTGTGCAGGTCCAACGTTTGTAGTTTGGATACATTCTGAAATGCGTCTTTCTTAATCATTGTTATTTGGTTGCTGTCAAGGTATAACTGTTCTAGTCGCGGCATGTTTACAAATGTACCTGCCTTCATCATTGTAATTTGGTTGCCACTCAGGGACAATACTTTTAGTTGGTGTAGTTTTTGAAAAGTACCTACTTCGATCATTTTTATCTTGTTGCGATCCAGGTACAACCGTTCTAACCGGGGTAGGTTTGTAAGTGTACCAGCCTTAAACGTTGTTATCTTGTTGTTATTCAGGTTTAAATGTGCTAGTCGCGGTAAGTTTTTAAATGTATCTGCCTGAACAATTGAAATTTGGTTGTGATTCAGGTACAACCGTTCTAAACTTGTTAGATTTGTAAGTGTACCCGGCTGAATCATTGATATCTTGTTTTTACTCAGGTTCAGATTAGCTAGTCGGGGTAATTTTTGAAATGTGCCGGACCGAATATCTGCTAAATTCTTGTTCATCCGCAAGTCCAACTGGTAAAGTAGGGGTAAATCGTTAAACATGTCACTCTGCAATGTTGTTAACGGGCTAAAGCGCACTTTCAACGTTTCTAATTGGCTTGATTCTGAATTTGTGTCATGTTAGCTAGTCGGGGTAATTTTTGAAATGTGCCGGACCGAATATCTGCTAAATTCTTGTTCATCCGCAAGTCCAACTGGTAAAGTAGGGGTAAATCGTTAAACATGTCACTCTGCAATGTTGTTAACGGGCTAAAGCGCACTTTCAACGTTTCTAATTGGCGTAGATTCTGAATTTGTGTCATGTTGTTCTTGTCAAGGAACAACACTCGCACTGGAAATATATCTTCAAATGTTTCTCTCTTAAGTATTGTTATCGGGTTGCTCGTCAGGTAAAGTTCCAGTTTGGAAACGTTTTGAAATATGCCAGGTTTGATCTCAGTTATGTTGTTGTGAGACAGGCACAACTTTACTAGTCGTGGCAGATTCTGAAACGCGCCTAACTCAATCAATATTATCTGGTTGCGATCCAGGTACAACCGTTCTAGCCGGGGTAGGTTTGTAAATGTACCAGCCTTAATCGTTATTATCTTGTTGTCATTCAGGTTTAAATGTGCCAGTCGGGGTAAGTTTTTAAATGTACCTGCCTGAACAATTGAAATCTGGTTTTGATTCAGGTACAACCGTTCTAAACTGGTTAGATTTTGAAATATGCCAGGCTGAAGCAGTGTTATCTTGTTTTTATGCAAGTACAAAACTGCCAGTCGGGGTAGATTTTGAAATGGGTGGGACAGAATATCTGTTAAATTCTTGTTCCTATATAAGTCCAACTTGTAAAGTAGGGGTAAATCTTTGAACATGTCACTCTGCAATGTTGTTATCGGGCTAAAGCGTACTGTCAACTTTTCTAGTTGGCGTAGATTCTGAATTTGTGTCATGTTGTTCCTGTCAAGGATCAACACTCGTACTGGAAATATATCTTCAAATGTTTCTCTCTTAATTATTCCTATAGGGTTGCTCTTCAGGTGAAGTTCCAGTTTGGAAACGTTTTGAAATATGCCAGGTTTGATCTCAGTTATGTTGTTGTGAGATAGGCACAACTTTACTAGTCGGGGCAGATTCTGAAACGCGCCTAACTCAATCAAGGTTATCTGGTTGCGATCCAGGTACAAATTTTCTAGCCGTGGTAGGTTTTTAAATGTACCAGTGTGAATCACTTGAATTCTGTTACATTCCATGTACAACAATCGTAGTTGGAGCATGATTTGAAATGTGTTTGGCTCAATCTTCGCTATCCCGTTACTATGAAGGTTCAGCACTGTCAAATTCCTATATCTCATCATTGCGGACTGACTAATGGTGATTCTGTTATTGCCCAAATGCAATTGAGAGATGGATGTTGGGAGGTTCTGGGGGATGCTGATGAGGTTCATTTCGTCACACACACAGACTGATGACGGTTTACAGCTACAGGTAGCTTCTGGCATGTTGGGCTCCTTCAGGATGATGAGAAGGAAAATCAGCACGTGTCGCAGCTTTCTCCACATGGTGTCCTGCCAACTAAACAGAACAGCAAGCTCCTCAGTATGGCCACACCATGCGTATGTTTTTGGGGCTTAAATTTTAAAGAAAAGATGTGTTCAAGCTGCTGGAGTATAAACATAAACAGGGTCTAAGGGAAAATATTGGTTTATACACTGTGAAGAGAAAGATAAGCTTAGATTCGACCTGCAATGTGATGCTGCACGTAAACAGCCTATACAGGCAGAGTCGGGCATGCTGAGCTGAGGAATCTAAAAAAGAATCTTTGTAAAAATCAGGAAAATTAAAAAATCAAATGATGAAATACTTGAAAAATTAAAGAAAAAAATTGA